CCCCACACAAACAGAATCAAGAAGGTTCGCCTGGTGTCAGTGTGTAAAACAAGTGAAAAAATGGAGCCAAAATGTTTTGACTTCCCAAGCTTGAGAGTCCTTGAAAGTGCAAATTTACATTTTTGTGCCTTTAATCAATGATTTTCAGTAAAAATCTATTTCAGAAATATTCTTTTAAATAAACATTTAAGGCATGTTGAGCCAAAAAACACCCCCAAAAATTAAAAAAATTGCAATACCGGCGGAAAAATACTAATGTCTACGAGTTCATTGTTTTGACGAGCGCCTGATTACACCACGGTGTCTCACACATTTTCTCCAGTGTGCAAAGGCTACGCTGATGTGGTCTATCTCCTGGATGGCTCTGACTCAACTCGTCGCATCACCCCCGATTATTCCAGAACGTTCTACGCCCCTGGCATCACAGATTTTGTGAATAACGTCACTAAAAATGTGGAGATGTCTCAAGTCAGGACCGGCGTCATCATTTACAGGTTTGAAATACATGACGTATAAAGGTGTAAATGTGACAGTGGAAACAGTGTGCTTGTGTGTGTGTGTGTGTGTGTGTGTGTGTGTGTGTGTGTGTGTGTGTGTGTGTGTGTGCGTGTGTGTGCGTACGCGCGCGCTCGTTCGTTCATGAGTGGGCGCACATATTGATAGATCTACATGTAATGTGAATGAGAGGGTGTGCGACAACCGCAGATTAGCTGTAACTGTTGTAACACAAACGTGTGTGTGATTCTTGTTGATCTACCCTGTAGGTGGCTATTTTTATCATTAATTCATCACGAGGGTACATATATTTACACCGAGCACCATGAGTAATCTATTCTTCGTAAGAATAAAGTACGCAAACCCTGCTCCGGCGGGCGAGTATTTGTCGGCCAACTGATTGACATACATGACGGTGCATTTCCCAGGTGGCGTTTTGTTTACAGAAACACTCCCATGAGTTTCTTCTCGGTCTTTTCTCTGCTACTAAACGAATAGAAGTCGCTTAGGGATGAGATTTTGTGCTTTACTTTTGTAGACGTGTATTCAAATTTCATTAATAATATTTGATAGAAAACCCTGGCCGCAGCCTGTTATATAAAAGGCTGATCATCTTTGGTTAAGTTTAGATTATTATAATATACTGCCGTACCGTATGTAGGCTTATGCTTTTTTAAAGAAGGGGAGGAGGGAAGAAACTTTGCCCCCCCCCCCCTTTTTGTTTTGAAAATAATATAAGGGAATATGTAGGCCAACTTCACTTCATAATAAATTATATTAACAGGCCAAGAGTAAACATCAGAAACTCGCTCTCTGTATATAAGGCCATATCGATGGAGCTGAATAGTAATAAAACGCTATGTTAAAATTAGGCTGCCGCAAATTCAAAGAACATGTCAGTTATTTAAGATTTAAAATGCAATCATCACTGTATTTAAGATTTGGGTGATGCCGGGAGGGGGGGAGGAGAGGGGATGCTATTTATACCAGTAGTTCTCAAATATCGTGACCTGGCATTTCTTTCGTTTCTCCATTTTGCATGTCGATTTTTTTTGGAGTCCAAGTTTTAAACGTGCTGCGCATTGATAAAGACGACGACACAGACATGGTGGAGTAAACATTGGAAAGTGAAAGTAGAAGCTAGCCCATAGTCTGTTTTATGCAAGTGAATTTTATTCCTTTTCCTTCGAGGTGGTACGAAAGCGATGACAGACTTTACTTTCCGGCACAGTCTGTAATATGGCGAACTCAACAGCTCAAGGTAGTCAATGATCTTCATGGCAACAAAGACGTTCACACAGTCATGAACCTCTGCCTCTCTCACTCTCATCAACCACACTCATCACCTGGTGCCAGACTCAGCAGTTTTACCTACCGTCCAACCGTTTTGTAGTTGTTGCTGTCTTTGTTGTTACTGTTGTAGCTCTATAACAATGATCTATCCTTGGTTCCGCCCCCCCCCCAATTAAAAACAAAAAACCACAACTCGTGTGACAACTGACATCATACTGTCTGATTCTCAACCTCATTTGTGGTGTGGGTGTTCTTATATAAAATGATCTTAGATGATCTAGATCTAGATCTAGAATCTAGTTCTAGAATCTACTTCCTCATCTTCCTCTATTCGTTGCATATTGATAAGTTAAATATAGACCCTTGAATACTACATTTATGAAAAGTGGTTGACAACTTCAACTTGATTGTCAGAAGTTAGAGGAAGCAAGTCTCCTGACGTTACGACATTGTCATGGAGTGTCTACGTACATGACACGGTAAATGGGTATGTAGATCTAGTCTCAAAGTCTACTTTACATAAACGGTAACCAAAAGGTCCACCCTCCTTCTACACAGAAGTAGGCCTATCGTGTTGTACAACTCGCTGTGTTTTGTGTGCGAACTCCGACATTCTCCAACCAATGGGGATATATATATTATAATTTTATGCCGGAAAAACATCTTGAATTGCTGCTTTTTCTTTCTTCATCCTTACTGTCATCATTTTCTTCTACTTCTTTTGTATGTTTGTCACTCTCTTGTGAACTGATATATCTGGAGTGTCTGGGTAGTCGAAGCAAACTTTGTGCTGTTGAGGCTAGAGTCAGAGAGGTGAGCAGAGTAAGCCTGATTCCCTGTTTAGACTTTTTTGCTGACTTCCACCCCTTGATGCTCATATGACCTTATGCAGTTGCGAGCACGGTAAAACCTTACTAAAACAACAAAAAAAGATTACCTTCAAAATTAGGCATAAGTTTAGTAAGCCTATTTTTTTGTCTGTCGTTATTCTCACCCGGGGTGAAAATAAAAATATTATAATATTATTCTCACCCCAGGTGAGAATAAAATGAATATTATTCTCACCCGGTCTGAGAATGCAATGGATTTTTATTCTTAAGCCTACCTGGGTGTTGAGAAAGGGTAGGCCATCATGTAGGCTGATAGGGTGATAGAAAATAATTTGTGAATTGTTAGAAGTGACCATTCGTGACCTGCCCCTGAGCGCCGGTCGATTTTTCTAGGCTCCCGCGGGGATTGTTATTGTTTCATTTTTTTTAATCTTGAGAGTATGCACACCAAAACCGTAGACAAATGTATATATTCTGAATTCGGAAAGGAATTCACTTGCCAGAGTAGTATGTTTTAAAAAAATAATAGCCTTTACTGAAAGCTGTTTAAATAATGTTAGAGTAATAGTTTGTCATTGTAATGTTAGAATTGGCATTTGTTTCCATGAACAACACAAAAAACATGATATCCCTAACAGAACCCACAATTATTTTTAAGGCGCTCTGTGCCTTGACTCTAAGCTTATTTTTTTTCTTAATTTTGATTGGTTAAACCATTCAAGAGTAAAATTTTTCATTAGGCCTACAAAACCAATGAATAGCAACAAAAGGTGATGTTATTTTCTCAAAAGATAAGGTTTTCCCCGAAATCGACAATAGTCACCTCCCGCACTCGAGAGCTGGCCCACCCTTTGGCAATTTTAGTCACCTCACGCGCTCAGCGGTGTGAGAGAGGGAGGCGAGTTATGTCGCCTGGAGCGCTCAGTGACAGCAGGGGTCCTATGATGCCCGAAACGAAATAAAAAGGGCGGAAATGAACAAACCGGATGAGAATAGTAGGCTGTTGTTATTCTCACCCGCTGTATTATCAATTTTATTCTCACCCCGGGTGAGAATATAATCCAGTTAATCCTCACCCCGGGTGAGAATAATCACTCCATATTTTTTTACTTTCCTCGTACAGTAGAACATGACTATAGTGGCACCCACTGCAGCGGGGCCATCCCTACAGTGGGACTTCACCGGAATCCCTTTTTTTTTTCTATGTCTAGTAAATTCAATTACTTCTGATTGGGTTTAGTTGGGCAAGGAAAGTCCCGAACTTGGATAGACTACTGCGGGAGAGATCAGGCGAGCTCTAGCTGGGGGAAGGGGGTTGGGCGATGGGGGAGTGTAGGCGGGCTCCAAAAAAGCAGTCACTACTGTACTACTGTATACTACTGTTCATTATATCTCAACAAGTATGTGTGTGAATAGATGTAAAATATATGGACTTTCCATATATATGGTATATTTGCAATATTTTTTATTTACATGCAATTTTCTCCCAGCGTTTCTAAGCACACTAGACCTAATGCATAAATGATTAAATGGATGGGGTTAGGGCAAAGGAGTTTCTGATTAGAATTGCTTTCAATCTATATGGATTTGAAATACATTTATGGCTGTGCCATCTTGTTAATTTTGGGATCCAGACCAAAAATAATGGGAAACAAGCCATAGAATAGTCTTGTTGGGCTTACTGCTTACATTCCGCTCATAACACATGGGAAGCGGGGGGGAGGGGGGGAAATGAAAGAAGTCAAGGTCATGAAGGGAGCAAAGCATTTACCGTGCACCTAGCTCAAGGGGCCCCCGAGACTAAGTACACCCGGTTATCGTGTACGTAGATACTGAGACTGCCCAGTTACTGTGTACGTAGCCAGAGCTGTTAAAGTACTTTTAAAAAGGTACTTAAGTACAAATTTAAGTACTATCTAAAATTTGTACTTAAGTACAGTAAAAGTACTTTCCTGTAAAATGTACTTGAGTACAAGTACTTTTTAAAAAAGTACTTATGACTACATTTTGAGTACTTTCTGCTAATTATTTTAATATGCTAAAACACTTCAAAATGCAAAACATCATATTGAATAACATATCTAGTATATTTGACAAATTCGGCCATTTATTACTAATAATGTAAACAGTATACAAAGCATTTGAATATACGCACTGAACGTAGGTGGAAATTGTCCGTGAAATTGAAAAAAAACCTCAGCAAACAAACAGACGCAACTAGTGAGTAAGTGATATTATGAATAGAATTTGTTTGAGCAAGACAATATGATCTAATGTAAGTCAGTCCTAGAGGTAGGAAAATAGGAAAAGTATCAAAATTGGAAAATGTAGAGACAAAGTTGACCTAAGAAAATAAAAAATTGATGAAAATGGCCAGCAAAAAAAAAGTGCTTTGAATTCTTTAACAAGTCCTCAAGGAATCAAGGTAGTCTTAAGCACAAACCACAAAAAAAAAAAGGAAAAAAGAAATTTAGGCAGCCTAAAAAATTGTTAGATTGATATACATTGAGAACTCAGTTTCAGTTTCAATTGATTATAATAGTGGTAAGACAGAGTTTGGTCACACTGTGTAGTCCACGGCGCCCACGGCAAACCAAAATAGGCCTACATGTAATTTCCTAGAGTCTAGTAAGTGTAGTGTAACCAAAAACTCTGTACTACAGTAGTCTCCGCCTAAGATCCCAGTGCTCGGGAGCAAGGGAAATATGGGATCTTAGCCCGACGAAGCTAAGGAAGAGTCCACAGTGACCCAAGAACTGACGTGACCCCTGGGTAGGTTTATGACATATGGCGAGCAAAGAGTGGTCATCCTTGATGACCAATCACAGTAGCATGGTGGCATGAGGCAAGCCATAATATTATACCGTACACTCATTAGCATATCGTCTCAAGATCTTTATCTACGTTTATCCAGTTGCCCCTCCCCTTTACCTGTCCAAAAATTGTAGTCTTCCATCTCTGATTGAGTCCCCCCGCCTTTGTCGTTACGTACCATTACGCTGTGACCACACCAATTAAAATTCAGGCTGTCTCGCAATTTCGGGAATAGAGAAAAACTGCCTTCAACTTCAATGGTCAGGGAAGAGTTCACAGTTCGATGTGATCCTGCCTGGAGCGAACTTGTAGGGCCAACCCACCCAGCGACGGATGAAAGTTCAGGTGGCGAGCTCAGATGCGAGTGCGATGTTTGGGGAAAAGAAACGCCCATCGGTCAGTTCACACCTCGGTGTGATCCCGTCTGGGGATCATTGTACCGTTTCATTGAGTTTTGCAGCGCATGTGATCACTTTCACAAGAGTGGCTGATCTTTGACGCGACGGGCAGTTCTTTAATCTCAACTTTTAACTCTTGGTTGATCGGCTGTGCCCGCCCGGGTGTTTGTTCCGTAAATTATGATCGGAAATGTCGGCACTTATTCTTTCATTAAGCTTCAAAAGTACTCAAAATGTACTTGAAAAGTACTCAAAAGTACTTTTATAAAAAGTATCGGAGTACAGTAAAAGTACTGATTCTCAAAATGTACCGGTGTACAGTAAAAGTACCGAAAATTGTAACGTAAATACAAGTACCGGAGTACTTGTACTCCGTTACAACCAGCTCTGTACTTAGCCACTCCCAAATATATATATTGTTAATGGTTCTCAGCAAGTAGATTGATCAAAGTATATTTTCCATTTATTTTTATGGAAATCAGAAAGTAAATTGGGAGGACCGTAGGCTAATGGGCTTCCCAATCACTACTATAAAAAATCAGCAAAAGTGGAAATTCAAGTCTAAATATTCTAAACATTACCGAAAAGTCACCGAGTATTGAGCATGACACTGGTTTATTTTATCCAAAAAATGTATTTCCACAATATGTTACTGATTTTTCCACACTTTCATAAAATTTGATTCAGCAGTTTGAGGTTGTTGTTTTTTTATTTATGCGAATGGCAGTGGATTTTTGGGGGAAATTTACAGGCAAAAACTCACAGGCACAAAAGCAAAAAAAATGGATGAAAACAAATGTGCTGGTACTAGTAGTTACTAGATGCTGTAACATGTTCTGATTTTACATCTTCTGTTTGCTATTATGTGTATACACCATTCTCTTTCTGGCATCTAGATGGGCTGTTTCAGAGGTACATTGGTCATCTTTCCTCCTTTTTAGACCCAGGCTCATGTTTTTAGTTCATTCCCTCTTGAAATTCAAGAATTCAAGCCAATCAAAGTAATTGGCAATGTGGTTTTCATGCACAAGATTTTTCCCCCCTCATCATTGAAGCCAAGTTGTGCCAGTAAAGGGGTCATAGATGTGAAATATTGTGAAACATTGGACGATAGTCCGTATTTCTTAGTTGGCTTCAATTTGAATAAGGTGCTCTGTTTGGGATGCCTGCCTTTATCCTTCTCTTAAGGTGACAACCCCTTCAATGTTTTATTCTAAATTCCAACTTTTTTAAGTTGTTATCTTTCTCAGGTGAATAATTTTTCAAGTTTTTCATGATAGCCTATATAGTTGACTGAAAACTAGCACGATAACAGTAATATCAGGAGTTATCCTATGAATTTTATAAATAAGAGGCTGCAATTAAAAATAAAACTTTATGATGACATAAAATGAGATAATCAATAATAATGTATGATGAAAACTTTTATTGACTAGCAAATTTTTTTACAGATACTGAAGAAATTCAGACTTATAGACAGACATAATTTAAATCTCATACATATGATTATCATACTTTTATATATATATGGTATATTATGTTTCTCTCTCTCTCTCTCTCTCTCTCTCTCTCTCTCTCTCTCTCTCTCTCTCTGTCTCACACACACACACACACACACACACACACTCATGCACATGCAGAAACATCCTCAACGCTCTTTGATACAAAACTTACATTTATCAGATACTGTATTTACTTTTTTATTTTCTTCTCAAGATGTGTACCTGGTGCAAATCACCATGGTTCAGCAAACTTTCGAGGTCTGCAAATCTCCCCTCGGGGTTGTCATCATGGAGCAAAGCATGTGGGAAAATGCCAGGCTGACCACCCTGAGGGACAAAATGATGGAACAGATGCCAAGCAGACTGCCGAAAGATTTTATTTTCTGCACAAAAAGCATGTAAGTCTTTTTATCGTGGTCAGAAATTTTCCACAATATACTGATAAGTCCAGCATACCTTATACAAGTCTTTCTTGTTGTTTGAACATTTGCTGTGCAGGTTAGATAACTTTTCTTTAAGTTTTTTGTTGTGTGTAGGAAATGAGGCTGCCATTGTGTAATTGTCATGTGAACTCTCTTACAAGATATTATCTGGATTCATATCGATGGCAAGCTGTTCAAATTTTCTAAGCCCAGAAAGCAAAATTTTTCATGAGAGAGAAAAAAAAGTCATTTTTTTTAGCTTTTGCACCAACATTTGGGATCTTTTCTTGCTTTTTGCAACTGATACCACAGATTAAGAAACTGCAATTAAAATATGTTCAAAATTTTAAGATTACTACATTTCAATAGCTGGCAGATGATCTATGCTTTCAGGGTTGAGTTTGGGATTCTTTAAAAAGTTTTAGAGGTTTTCCTGTTTCGCTGTGGCAGAGATTTTTTTTGTGGGAAGGAATTTTATGCTACATGACGCTTTGTCTCATTTTTAGGCATGGCCTAACTAAAGGCCAAGAGGTGAATGTGAAGTGTCACCAGATTGCAGATGACAACAGAGAAGTGTACATAAGACACATGTATGGTATGTTCCTTTTTGTTTCTTTGGTGTTTTACAGCACTTGCCACTGCATACGATAATATGAGCACTCTGGACACATTAAGCATTTTCAGTTTCGTTGGAATTAATTTTGAATTTTGCCCTGGTGGCGGCAGAAGCCTACTCTTGTTGATTTTAGGACCAACAAGGGAACTTTATCATGCACCACTTTCACATGGGACATCCGAGAAGGCTGGGTGTTAGATCTTACCTTTCTTAAAATCAGGGGTATGGCTGAAGGACAATATTAAGAAAGAGCCAAGGAGTAGCAGTAGAAAGGCGGCAGAAAGAGTCAGGAGCCCACAGGAGGGGGGGGGGGGGGGGGGCGGCAGAAAGTGGAAACAAAAGCAGAAGACAGAGCATGGTTAGAGAGCAGGAAAGAAGGTGAAAGAAGAACTATCGTATGAGAGGCGAACACCATACCTCTAGATCATGAGAGTTCTGTTTATAAAACAGTAATATGTATTATCACACTTTTTGGTATGGCTGTCTGGATATTATTTTATACTGTCTTATTCTAGTACTAAGTTTCGATCATGTAACATTATCTGGTCTCTGTAGATGGGGCTTGAGTGGTCATTTGTAAATGTAGTGAACCTGTGTGCATCTTTGGAAGTTTCAAAAGTTGTACCGGAAATCATAAGATTTTCATGTGTTTAAGACTGGTTTTCTTTGTACAGAAGTGTTAACTTGCGCAATAATCATGTAACTCCCAACTTTATTTTTAACTTGACATTGGTCTGAAAACTGCCTTTTTTGTTGTTTTTTGTTCAAAGCTTTTCCAAAGACATTGATAAAGGAAGCTGTATGTGAATCGCTTGTGTTGGGCCATGTGTTTTGCCCCTACAGCACCACTCTCAAGGAACTGAGAGAAATAATGACAAGAGAGGTGAGTTTAAGTGATTACAAAAGGCATGTCGATTTCCTTTGAAGTCACAGCTTAGGAAATATATTTGCTTTGTGATGTGAGGTCTCAGCAGTTTTTCTTTTGAAGAGGTTTTGATATGTGTGTCAACCACATTGAAAGAAGTATTGTTTTATCGACATCATTATCATCGTCAGTCCCACAGTGACAGTGGTATAGACTGTTGGGGCACCATGGATGACTTTTCACTAATCTCATTTAACTCCTTCCACTTGTTGAACTTGCTCATAGCCTCATATATTTTCAGACCTGTCCACTCTGGGATGATATTCTCCTGTCTTTGTTTCAGCCTTTCTCTTCTTCTTCCTCCTTGTACTGTGCCCTGCAGGATAGCCTTTGCCACTAGTCTACTTGATCTTGTGACATGTCCAAACCATTTCAGTTCACATTCTTTCACAGTAGCTTAATTCTTTTCATCAGTTCTTCATTACTGATGCAATTTTTATAGGATACCCTTTGGAGTCTTCAATAACATCTCATTTCTAGACTTTGAACTTTCTTCTAAAGTTCATCTGTTTGTATTCATGACTTGCAAGAGAAGATGGGCATGAGTAGGGAGGGCATCAGTCTGGTCTTTGTGCTGAGGGATACGTTGTTGTTGGTCAAGATAGTCTTGAGTTTTATGATTGCGGTTGTGGTTAGGGCATTTCTGTCTAGAACTTCAGGTGGCTCTTTTGTATTTCAAACTCCTCATGGTCTTCAGCCTTTTGCCTTTGATTTTGATATCAGCACCGATTCTGGTGGCTTTATGAGTCATTTCGGTCTTTTCTGCATTAGTTGTAAGCTGTGGAGATTTTGTCAAGTATTGTTTTGCACTGTGTGTTAGTATTTAGTTCTGTTATTGTTATTGTCTTCTGAGATATTCATTTAGGAGTTTGGGAAAACTTATTAAGAATATTTTTTTTAAAGCTATTTGAAATAGTGTGAAAGGTATACAAAAATTTGATGTACGAACTGATTTTATGTCTTTAAAAAAGACATGCCAGTACCCACATGCAAAAAACTTAAGTCATCACTCATACACTCGATTCACCATTTGGATTAAGCCAGTCTTTGAATTTGATATTGATCTACTTTTGTTAGCTTATCTCTTTTGTCAATACATTTTAAATATCTTCTACTCTTAAGTATCAGAGGTTTTCTCCACATTTGTAACATTATTACTGCTATGGGGTTTTTTTTCGTCATTTGTTATAAAGCTGGCATTGTGGTCATGTACTTTGACTTACAATAACTTTTTGATGTTGCTATTGACATAGTCTCTAATCTGTTAATTTTGTAAGGTAAGTTAGAGAATTAATAAAAATTCATCAGGTTTACTTCTGTTTCTTAACATTTTTTGTGATGGTCTCTGGGAGACAGGGATGAAAGGTAATTTTTTTTTTGTATGGAAAGAAGGAGTGAGAAAGCTTAACATGCTAATAAATACTGAACTCTTGTACTGAATTTATTTCTCTGCAGATTCCAAATATTATTCGTCCAGCAACCACGTATCAGTTTATGAGCTGCGATAATATCCCGATTTCACTGAGAGAGGAAAGACAGATGGGAATGAGTGAGGTTGTGCTTGGCCAATCGGTGAGAATTCAGTATCTGAACCAAGACGCTGAGTCTAGCTCTTCCAAGCGGAAATCTGAGACATCACTAGAGCACAGCAGAGGAAAAGCACTCAGGTTATGTAGTTATGGGATCTTTGTGTGTCATTGTTGAAATTATTGTTGGGTGGGGGGAGGGGGGGGGGTTTGACCTCTGTAATAGTAGTAGGTTCCTAATTCTGGAGTTAAAATGCTTTTCTCTTATGCCAAAGTATAAGGTTTGGTTCGCAATTGATGCTGGTGTGATCAGAGTATAATATAGTTCTTCGTTGGGATTTTCACATTCCTGATTCAAGAGCAGATTGGAAAGAATGTCCTATGTTCTTAGGTAAGGACTAAAAATCATGTGTTGGTGCCTTATCAGTTGAAAGCCGAAGAAGAGATGGCCTGACCAGGCTGGCTACTCTGTGCAAAATCTTTAATAAATGCTGGCCGAAAACTGAATAAACTCGAATGAGTATAAATCAATGATTGCACATCGGGGACCGTATATGGTTTTCTGAAAGGCAAAGAAAGTTATGTTAAACTAGCATAATTCATTATATCTTTTGGGGTCTTTTGTTTTATACATTCCTTCAGATCTCTTCTTCTATCAATTTTCTATTTTAACATTATTCCTGTTTGTCTAACATGATTGTAAAGGTAACGAGATGAGTGGCCACTGAGGTGTGGTTTTTTGTGTTGTTTTATAATCAAGACACATTACTGGGAGCTCAAGAAGCACTCTTGTATACACCAGTTTTGCTCATTAAAATCATTTTTCATAAATTTGTGTGCTTCTGTGTCATAAATAAGTGAACTTTCTATCTTTACTCTCTACAAAGCCACTTTTCAGATGGGGGAAATGGTTCCCCTTTAGTCTTTCTTTTTCATCTTTTGCAAAGACTGTTTTTAATATTGTATGACTGAATAGCTCTTTACTTCCAAGAGTCTGCTGAAAGGTCATGCTGACCATTATCTTAACGCTTTAATGTTTTTATGTCTCTGTAGACTTTCCTTCAGCTCTAGCAAGGATGTGACCCGGCCTATCAAAGATGAACCCATCGTACCTGCTGCAGAAGTCATGGACAGCAAGCAGTTACTGATCAGCTACGTGAGGGCAGAGGCCGCTGAGCATGCCCTGAATCTCAAGGGGAAGTTGACTGACCTTGGATTTTCAGTGTATTTGGTGTGTAATTTTTCACTCTCCTACTTTTGCCTTCATTGGCAAGAATTTGGTGTTGCATCTTTTCTTTCTGTTATATTGCAGTGTCTTGGGTTTTCATTGATTTGTTTGTTTTGTTCTATTTATGTCTTGTTTTTAAAATGTGTATGTTCCTGGAAAAATGATAGTAAAGTTCAAGTATGGTAGACCTGTTGATGTAAGATTTTTTGGTAGGGATGAGTTCAATTTCAGTGCTGGATTCTCAAGTTTGTTAGGTTGGCTTTTGGTTAGGTTGAAGTCCAGATTTTATTTTTAATGACTGTTGAGTTTGCCTTTTTTGTTCACACATTCGAAAGTCAAAAGAATAGCAGACAATATCCAAATGAGCAAATGGCATATGTGTATGAATATTAATTGTTGTTGTTATCGATCCAGATATGAATATTAATTAATGTATAGTCTTTTTCCCTGTGTAGGGTACTTTCACATTGAACATGTTAGTATACAGCATGCTAAATGCTCTACAGAGTGGTAAAGTAAATCATGACTTCACAGAAAGTTTTTGGGTTATTTTATATAGGATCACAACACTTTTGGGTAAATGTTATAATTTTTAAAAGGTGAGATAGCAGAGCTATCCAAACTGAAACTTCTTATTGGGTATTTTTTGTTCTTAGTCTTGCACAATTGTAGTCTCTCAGAGTGTTTACTGCTGTTGTAGAATTTCTTTTTTTTGCTTTGTTTACATATATGTGTTGAAGAGAAGTTCATATGAAGTCTACATTTTCTTCAGGATGTTCACGAGATCAAGTCAGGAATTGACTGGCAGGATGCTCTCAATTATGCTGTGAGCAACTGCCAAGTGTTCATCCCCCTAGTCACTCCACGGTACGGGGAGACGCAGTGGACAAATAGGGAGGTACGTGTCATATCTGCACTGTTACCTAAAGGTGTATGAACTTGGAGGAATTTCTGTATTGAGGACTCGTGCAGTTTCATAGTTACCATCTTTCATATTTTGAACTTTCTAATTTAGAACATAAAAACCGTTGCAAGCAGAACTGCCAGTCTTTTTTTCTGCAGCCATTTTCAATTCTGTAATTATATGCAGTACAGGTTGTGACATGTTACAACTCTGGGTTTGGCAAACCACACTTTTTTAACGCCTTTTAGGGTCTTCCTGAAAAACATGCTTGGAAAGGTTTCTTATTTAAAAAATGAACTTCAAGTATAGATGTTATGCTAAATAAATGCACAGCTCACTTCACAGAACTGTACTACAACCAGTGAGCTTATTCAGTCTGATTGCCTTCTCTTTTGTTGCTAAAAGAATAGTAGGATGTTTTCTTTTTTGAACTGGGCAGTTGCCCTGAAATGAAATTTTTTAAATTTTGACATGCTGTGAACTTATTTTGAGGTTTTCAAGATTTTTATCATTCCGATGAATATTAGCTCATGAATGACCCCTTCCTTGATTTGTTATGTATGTGATATAGGTGTGAGGAGGGTCTCGCAACAGGTCAACGAAGCAAACTTATACCACAAAGTAGTTCTTGCAGATATTTGTTGTGTTTTTTTAGGGGAGGAGTTGGGAAGAAGATAGTTTTCAAACTTTTGATCAGCATTTGTGTCCTATTTTTTTTCAATTTTGTTTTGCCTTGGCATCAACTTCTCTTGAAGAGCCTATCAATGTATGATTCAGTTGTTCTTAGAGCGGCTGTTTAAAAGTGTGATTTCTCGTTTTTAGATATTCTGTACCTGAATGACTGATTTGTGACAGATCAAATCTTCGTTTGACAAATATTTTTAAAAAACATTTTGCGTATAAGTTACATCTATATATACATATAGGTCAAACTTGCTGATGTCCTGGGCAAGCCTATTCTACCAATCAGCTTCCTGAATGAGTGGCCCCCCAAGTGCCTTGCCATCCAGTTTGCCACCACACAGTTTATCTTTTGGAAGAGTCCACAACGGCCTGAAAAAGGTGAATTTTCCATTACTTTCTTCCTTCCTCCACTGTTGAGATGTTTTCGATGTACATATATCAGCTAAACTTACTGTCATAAGTTTATGTTATAAATAGGTAGTTTTTAAATATTATATTCTATTAACATTTCTTTTTTTCCCATCTGGTACATATATTTGTAGATGGTAGAGAGTTCTAGAACACCCTCGAAAACCTTTTGGTCAAACAAAAATTAATGAAGAATATTTGGCCTCAGCCTTTAATGATTGTGACTGAAAATATTTCAACTAATGTTTGGAAGAAACGGGGAAAGAGAAAGTCAAACTAAGATGTAATGGAATTTTTGTTCATATCATTGTTTTATATTTTCAGCATTATTTAATGTAGGAGAGATATTATCAGTATGAATCTACTAATAATTTATTTGTCGTGTGCTTAACTGGTTTCAAGTGGAGATGTTTTTATCTCTTTGTACAGCCAGTAACAGGATTTACATGTTTTAGTTATTATTTTGGTTCAAATATACTGATAGTGATATTGAGAAGTAAAACTGACCCATTTATTAGTGTTTGCTTGACATATTGTATTCAGTTGTTTTTTTGTATGTTCAGTGTGAGCACTGTTGACAATGTTATAGTCATAATGATTTTCTTTGTTTTTCTCGTTTTTCTTAGATGACTGCCCAGACATTCGTGTCTGGGAGAGTTCGTTCATGGACTCAGTGGTGTCTGAGCTGGCCTTGAGAGTGAAAGCCATCAAATTTAACTGTGTATCTCTATCCAAGCCAGCTCTCACGAGAATGGTAAGTTTGAACACTTTTAGGCACCAGTTGTTTTCCAGGCATCAGCTTCTTTTGTATAAAGGTGCTTTCCATTTTGTGGCCATTTACTTGTACAGCAAGGTAGGCAAACTGTCGAACCTGACCTTGCAATTACCACATACTTCACTTAAAAAATAATTCTATCAAATATCGTCTATAATCAGATTGTGCGGTTGGATAATATTTTCGTATAAACTTTCAAGTAATCAAAGCTCACATTTCCTTTGCCTTTACTTTGATTATGTCATTCTTCATATATCTTTATGGCACTTTTAAGTCTCGAATAATAATAATAATATACTTGTGCCTGGGTTAGTTTGTTTGGTTTTTTAACATTTTAAAAATTATATGTGTACCACAATCAACTGCGTAATAATCCTTCCTCACAATTTTCTCAGTATCCAAAACTAAAACAAAATCAGATCTTAAAGGTAAAGTAAGCAAATGTTCTTCAGCTGCTGTCTTGGCCCACTCTCTCTGTATTGAAATGTATGTTTGATTGGGTCATGTTGTTGTTCTTCCTCAACAGAAAACTCTGATGAAGACGTTCACTGGTCGGTTACCAAAGTCTGTGGCTCCTGTGCTCAGCACTCAAGACAGTGAGGAGCCAATGGGCTCAAGTGTTGTCATTTGTTCCCATCCAAATGAAGCTGGATTTGTACGTACTTTTCACTTTTACAAGCCGTTGTGCACCATTTTATAGCTGTCCTTATTTTACACCGATTTATGGACAACCTTGAGAGAAACGTATCATCATGTTTAACTCACTCAATCCCGTGACTGAGATATCTCGGTCAGCTCGCGTGCTGCGTTCAATCCCACGACCGAGATAACTCGGTTCTATAGTTTTGTTCCGTTTACTAGTTATTGCGTTTCGGAAAATGGCCTCAAGTTTTATATAAGGTCTATTTATTATTTCCCCTGCCAATTCTGCTTAGATGGGTGCTTAAATTTTGTTTCTACTGTCATTACACAAGGAGAAATCGCGCTTTTTATGAGGACACTTTCAGCACGTTTGTTCGAATGATCAGCTGAGCATGTCTCGCAATCGGTTCTCTCTGCCTTTCTCACACATACTTTATTTTTATTCATGAAAGTATTCAACAGTTTTATTGTACATGAAATACAACATATAGATCAAGACACTCACAAGCATATTTGAGTATCGATGTAAGCTTGCTCTACATTTCAAAGCAAAGCTACTAAAGCTACATACCTCAAATTTTTTATGTCTTAAGATCCATCTTAGGTTGTATTTTGTGCCAAATTTCAAAGCAATTGAATAATATTTAGGGTTACTAGTGGGCCCTTACATATAAGTGCCAAAATGACCGGTTTCTGGGTACAATTTTGGGAAAAACTCCCGGGATTGAGTTAAAAGATTTACTTTCATATTTTATGTTTTTAAATCTAAGAAACAATTCAAGTGCAAAAAAGAGATTATGTCATGCATGCAGCACCTTGATCTGAAATGTTTCCTAATATGGTCACATTAAATGATGTTGGTTCTTTGAAAATAAGGTCAATGTGTCTTTATCAATTTTTGGCATTAAGTTTTCTACTGTAATCATCTTTTCACCATTACATCTTAGGGCTTCAAACTCAAGGGCTGGCTAGAGAGCATAGGCCACTCTGTGTGGTTGTCTTCTGTCAAGGACTGCAAGTCTTTTGATACCGGAATTCTCTCTGTGTGTCTTCAAAAAGGTGAGTAAATTGTGGATGAAAAGGTCAGATGTGGAGGGAGTGAGGGTGGGGCACAAGAAAATACACTGACGGTCATTAAAAACGCACCACTTACAAAACAATTCAAATAATGGTGATGTGTTTATTTTTTTAAACAGATTATATACCATCGTAATTTTGTGAATATTCATAGCTGAAATGATATGAAAAGGTCAAATGGCAGAGCGAGCACAAAAGCATGAAGTAACAAAAGTGCTTTTTCAAAAATTAGAGCGGTAAATTGAGTTTTAACTCTTGCCTTAGTATCGTGTATGTCCTCCATTGGCTTAAATACAGGATTGGCAACGTCTTCTCATGGAATTGACAAGAGTCTGAAAGAATCTGTACCCACTCATTTGTCAAAGAACACCTCAGCTCTTGTAGATTGTGTAGAGGTCTTCCACGGGACAAACGGCGGCCAAGCTCGTCCCACACATGCTCAGTTGGTGCCATGGCAGGACATCAATGTTGTTTGCTTGCAGAAAAGCAGTGGTGGCTAGAGCGGTGTGCGGGCGGGCGTTGTCTAGTTGGAATAACTTCAGCTCTGGGTGTTGACCAAATAACGGAACAACATGGTTCTGCGGAACCTGCTGGTACGTGTTGGGATTCACAGGCTGGTCGAAGAACTACAGTGGTGTGAAATAATTGCTCCCCATACCATGACACTGCCTCTATCGACCTTCAGCATGCAACAGTTGGCGTAGCGCTTGCCGGGGCGTCTCCAGACCCTTCTTCTCCCGTCAGCATGTGAAAGGAGAGGGCGTACCGACTCTCGCCAGAAAAAACTACAGTCCTCAGAAAAAACTACAGTCCTCATCTGGCGTCGTGTCAACTGTAAATGCTGCCTGGCCCACTGCAAACGTTGTTGACGGTGCCTCTGTGTCAGGACAGGACCAACGTACGGGCATCTGGCAGCAAGTCCTGCTTCCCACATACTGCGTCGCATGGTCCACTCTGATACTGGTCCACGCCGACCAACCACTTGACGACCTGTTTCCGGTGCTGGCAGGAAACGGTCACGAAGGTGACGTTGGCGAATGTAACGGTCTTGCGCTGGTGTTGTAACTCATGGTTAGCCGATCTGCTGTAGATCCAGTAGCTGCATTTCGTTGACAACCGGATAACAGTCGAGTGGGTACATGCCGGCTAAGAGCATTCCAATGGCCCTTTCACGTTCTTGCATGGAAAGTGGCGGCATTATTTACACCGAAAAAATCCGTCGCACAGAGTAAAGAATGTCAGTTTTTGCTATGGGCGAATATAATCTCTCCCTAACAGCCAAAAAATCTGTCTCGCTAAACAGAGTTAAGGTTTGAGGTCGACACATCAGATTTTTGCGTGTTGCACGTTCACATTGACAATTTTGAACTGGGAACTTCAAATTTTGTGTGATCGGTAACCTCTGTTGCCTGTGAACTTTGTAAACCTCTATTGATGTCACTGGATAAATTTTCTGGCAAAATGTGCTCAATGCAAAATGGTGGATTTTTTATTACCGTCAGTACATTTGAAATTCTTTGTTGTGGGGGCTCAGTTGTCCTGGGTTTGTTTGGTTTCTCTAGGTTTCCAGCATGTTTGAGCCTCGTCTTTGTATTTGGAGATGTAGGAATAAAAGTATTTGTTTTTTAATAATCAAAAAGTTTTTAGAATATTGCAGAATACCCTGTGATAGCCTGTGATATTTATAAAAGCACAAGCCCAAAGTCATGTAGACATAGAGACTAGCATTATTTTTATTGGTGCATCATGATTTAATTTAAATATGAAAATGTTAGGGTAACCATGGCTTTTGAATTTCAATACTCAAAATGCAAAGTCAGCTCATCCTCCCTTTTTGCCCTCAGCTCTTCACCCTAACAAGTTTGTGGAGAAGGATCGTGTTCCTGATGAGCACTACAGCTCTGTAGCCGTGCGGAAATATGTGCAGCAGTTCCAGGAAAATGTGGACAAAGCCCATCTGGTGATAGCTGTCCTGTCTGAAGGATTCACCGGGTCCAAAACCTGCAAGCAACAGGTGAGCTGTGTTCACACTCTGAAGGGAAGAAGGAAATTTGGAAAGTGCTGACTGTAAAGCTTTTGTCTTTCTTATCCTTTTTTGTCTGGTCTTTAGTCTGACTTTTTCCACTCATCTAAGAGGCAATGGTCCTGTTTGTGAAGCCAAAAAAAGAATTCCAATCCTCCTGCCTGTTATATAAAACATTGCGACACTTTTTCTCTCACTAAATGATCACACTTGTGTTGATAAGCTGTTTATTTCAGTGAACGTAAAAAAAAAATTCTTTTGAGAAATATTCTGTTTGAAGTAAGACCACTTTATGCTGTGGTGACAGATGCTTTGTCAAGTGAAAATATCTCTAAATCTTTCTTCTTTTTTTTTTTTAACTTAAGTACTCTTTTGTGGTAAACTACTATTTGGGGTACTTCCACAGTTGGTTGTTTTTGTGTTCCTAAGGATTGTACTAACCTTTCTTATAATGTTTAATGTTATATTTGTCCTTTTTCAGCTGTTCTACTGTGAGCACAGAAAGCAGATTTTGGCTGTTAAGTATCGTGACTTCAGCTTTCCTTGCTGGCTCTCCATGCTCATCAGGATGCAGAGAGTTATGGTTTGTAATTTTTCTTTATTTCTATGTTAAAACTTACAAAGTTTGTTCATATTGTATTTAATGCTTTCTTCAATACATTTCAGTTTGTGCATATTGGTCAATGGTTTTAGGTTGATGCAGGTTTATACTCTAGACAAGATCTTTTTTTTGTATGCTCCTGTTGTTTTGTTGAGACTCTTTCTTACTTTGTTATTGTACTTTTGTCTACCCAAATAACTTCTAGAAATCTAAAGCCGCCTTATTCTTTATATTTTTATATTTATACACTTCAGTTTAATAATAGAGCAATATGAATGGGAAAGCAGAAGGGAATTGCATGTTTGAAAGCATTTCTCATGATTGAGCTGTAAATGGGTTCTGCTGGTAATATTGTTGGAAAGTTCATAATCTTTTTAAGTCTTTTTTAAAAAATGTTTGAATGTAACTTACAGAGCAGTGTAGCATTCATATGTCTGTTTTTAATTCTTCAAGAGGACTTTCCGTATGACATAGAATTCCATTGGATACAATGCTTGGCCTAAGAACGGCAGGTTTGATTATTTGCAGATGTATCGTAATTGGTACTTGATATGAAGAAACTGAAAAAGGTGAAGGGAAAAAATGTGGAAATGTCTTCATTGTATAGGATTAATTCTTTCATTGAAATGTTTGATAGTCATCTGAAGTGTCCATATTTCTCCACAATTGTCCTTGTCTTATGTGACTTTGTCCTGGCACTTTATGGTGCAAGCATAAGCCTTTCTCATATCACATTTCTACCTGTCTACTAAAACCACAGACTCATCTGACATTATAAAATTGCTGAACAGCATTTGGATCATAAGCATTATAGTGTTTTTATTTTCCTTTTATCAAATTATGCTGAATACTGCTATTAATTTCACTTTGCTTGTCTCATCTGCCATTGTAGGATGCTCAGAAACCGACTTTCCACAAAACATTCCTAATGAGTGTACAGAGGCTCTTGGATCCAACCGCCAGAAATTGCTTGGAACCAGAGAACCACGAGGCGAACATCAATGTCGCTGTAAGTGAAGCAGTCTTATATAATCTAGAGTTGCCTCAAGGCTTTTCTGCTCTGAGAGGTTGACATCACTATTGTTTAAGTCGAGCAGACTTATATTTTTTGTCTGTTCTGCTTCTTTCAACTTTTGACTGTAACCTATTTTGACACTAATGATGTCGTTGTAGTTAATCCAGTGACACTTAAGTCAGTTTACTTTAACCAAATGCGGTGTTGTAAAGGATAGAAATTATCAACAACCAAAAGTAGCATATCATAAATGCATTGTCTGTGTTTACCAGTCTTATCGCATGTCAAAAAGTAAACAGTGTTGAACTTGATTCTCTCCTCAGGTCCAGTACTTGAAAAGATCACTCCACATCCAAAAATGTGTCTATATTGCTGCTTCATCCAACTTGAAAGATTCCAGATCTGAACCTATCTGCAAGTAAGTGTATGCTTTTTTTTTTCAATGGTATATGTCCCTATTTGAGTTTTGTCTTTGCCTTCAGACCTTGTGCGATTATAAACGTTTCCAGTGTGACTGCAGTAAGACATTCTATTGTGAGTTATCTTCTAGTGTTACTGATGCCATATTAAAGATGCAGATGTGTAATTAGACACATATCGTTTCCTGCAGTTGAGATTTTTTGTCTCATCTGGGAGTTAATGTGTTTTTTACCCTTTCAGCCTGCCAATTCTTTAAGCTTTGGCCTCAAATACATTTAAACCTCTGATATAATATATAATTAATCAATTGTCCTCATGAGTTGAATCTAGAAATCAAAGCGTGTATCTTGAGATGATCATATTGTCTCATATATGTCATATTTCATCGGTACCTGATAAATTTTGTTCTCCTGTAGTATTTTCAAAATGTCGTTTTTTGGGGGAGCCAGATGTTAATCTTGTGCCTTTTTTCCTCTTGCCATTCCTGCGTTTTATTTTTACCTTTCCCAGAACCGTTTGATCAGAGTGAGTGGTTGATGGGTACTCTGGTGTTGTTTGCTCCTTCTTTCCTGTATAACATCTATTGTCCTCATCTCTCTTCCTTGTTTTGTTTGTATGTTACATTCTGGTAACACCTCTAATCTTCGGGTCTCATATGACCCAGTTGTGTTGCAAGTGCCGTAAAACTCATACTAAAACTGAGATCAGTATTATGCCAATGTGCTTTTCTTTGGCTTTATATAAATCAAACTTAATTTCCAGAGCAATTGCCCTCCAGCTAGCCAAACTGCCAGATGTGGTGGTGGTGACAGGTGGAAGCAAGGGAGCCAGTGAGATCCTCAGTCACACATTCCACCAGGAGGTGCTCGACCACAAGAAAAAACCTCATGTGTGGCATGTGCTACCAGAGAGAGATGCAGAAGTAAGTTTTTAGTGATGTTGGTGTGCTGCATGTTTTTTCTGCCCATTTCTGACCCCCCCCCCATATAACTCAGCACTAAATTTTCCTGTTTATTGTTCTGTTTTTCACATGAAACAGCTAAACAGCGAGACTAGTGTTATGGCACAGGATCATTACTGTCAGCCATCTTTTGATGAAATGGCCAACTTTGAATTTCTATTCCGAATTCTTTTTGTTCAGCACCCCTGTTATAGAATTAGAGAAAAACAGCATATGTCTATTCAAAAAGATGTATGCTATCCTCAGAAGAAGTTGTTTTCTTTTCTTATAGTTTTTTTTTTAAACTCGGGGTGCATGTTATCCTCTCAAAAATAGAGTACAGTCGAACATACCCAAAACGACCGCTCATGTTGAGGAGAAAAGTCGTCATCTTAGACAGGTGGTCTTCCTAGGCAGGTCAGATGTACAATGAAGGAGAAAAAACATTCTTTTCTGAAGTTTCAGCCAAAGGCAGTTGCTGTAAGGCCCATTAAAGTCATTGAAATGAAGGGGTTTTGTGGGGATTTTGTGGGTGTTTTGGAAAGTTTGGAAGGGGAGGGTGTCGTTTGATTCTGTTGTTTTTTTTCATCATGCAATATTTGCATGGTTGTATTGACAGGTTTTTTTGGCTGTTGGTTTGATAAAATATTGAGGTGATGTTGGACAGGTGGTCATATTAGACAAGTGCCGTTTGATAGTAAAAGTGCAAGGAAGGAAGTGAGAAGATACTAGGTGGTGGCTAGAACATGTCCAACTGTACTTTCTACTGCCTTTAGTCCATTTAGAACTTCGATTTTTATCAGGGATTTTCCTAAGGCTCATATAGTGAAAAACCCTCAAGTGCTGCACCAATTTAGAATGCTGAAGCCATGGTAGAATTTTTGTTGGTTTTTAAAAAACCCTTACAGCATAAGAAACACACTTTAAAAATTCAGTTTCATCAACCATTCAGTTGTTGCATTGAGTGAATTCCTTTTGTATTTGCTTCAGTGCAGTGGCTCCGTTTGTTGTTTAAATATGTGAGGCAGCGTGGTGGAATCAGGCTCTCGTCAAAATAATCAAAGTGAAGAAACTTGCTTTTTTCTGTGGGTTTATGAATATTTCTCAAATTTTTTTTTTTTGACTCAACACCTTTCATGCCCATTAAAGAACTCATTTCTGTGTGGATTTTTCAGAAAAACGTTGATTAAAGGCACAAAAATGTAAATTTTCAGTTACCACGGACTCTTAAGCTAAGGAAATAACTTATCTTTGGCGGCCATTTTCTCACTAACTTTACCTCTGAAAACAGATGACCCCCACTTCCTTCATTCGCAAATATCTCGACTTGTATTCAAGATAAATGGATACTTTTTTCATCCAAATAAACACAAGTGAACAAGCTTTACGATGATACCAATAACTCTACATGCCCAAAAATTGACGAGAGTCTGATTCCACCACCCTGCCTCACATATGTTTTGTGTGTCCGGTCGAATTGGTAAGGCCACAAAAGTCACCTATGGTACTAAAAGTGTTAAAGTGATATTATCGTTTTTGGCAGTATTTAAACCATCCTTTTTCTTATTTTGCCCATCGCGATTAAAAATGAAAAAGTCACATTGAGTAGATTCATCATGACAATGGAATCTTTGTCTTCCTCCTCCTCCTCCTCCTCCTCCTCCTCCTCCTCCTGCTCCTCCTCCTCCTCCTCCTCGTCTTCTTCTTATTCTTCTTCTCCTCCTCTTCTTATTCTTCTTCTCCTCCTCCTCCTTCTTCTTCTTCTCCTCCTCCTCCTTCTTCTTCTTCTCCTCCTCCTCCTCCTCCTCCTCCTCCTCCTCCTCCTCCTCCTCCTCCTCCTCCTCCTCCTCCTCCTCCTCCTTGATTACATCACACTTGAAGTGCAGTATCCAAAATCTTTGTCCAATTAAAATGAATTTGTCTCTTTGTGATATGTCTGTGTACTTTTTCTTAAACAATGCTTCTGTGATACTTGATACAATGATTTTCAGACTGAGGCCATTTTGATTGCTTACCTGTTTGCTCGTGGGCAGGGGGGGGGGATGTTTTTGGTCACTTGATGCTAGAGTCTAGTTCAATAAACATTCTTTCAAGACCATTAAGAGCATTTGAGTTTGAGTTAAAACACATCAAATAAAATCTCTGTCTTAACTCTTTTTATCCGGACTACAAGTATACTCGTAACGAAGACCAGTCTCGGCTACGAGTAAACTCGGAACAACTATGCGGTCACGTCAAACAGCTAGTTCTGCTTGTAATTACCAAAATGCACTATTACAGCGATGCTAGCTCTGTCTAAATATTAAATTTTCCAGTGAACAGCAGTTTCATTGTTTTTGATGGGTGTAGAAACTTGAAAGATGTCTCGAAAATGCACATTCACGACTGACGAAGTACTTCTTGAAATGACGCTTGGTTGTGAGGGGGAATGAGACTAATTTGATGAAAGAGACTCTGAATCAAGTGCCGTAAATTCCATTGTGGATGATAAGGAACAGGAAGTAGACTTATCTAATAGCGATTCAGATCATGGTGAAGGGACCAGTACTGGAATTCGCACAGTACCAATGGGAAGGGCTAGATCTAGATCTATTAATCCAAGAGGACGTCATGGGCGTGGCAATCAGGGTCAAGTTGGAGGGTGGAATACACCTCAAAATCTACATGGTGCAATTGCTGTAATTCCTAATCTCATACACTTACAAAAACTACTTTCAATTTCCTTAAAACCTAAGAGTAAATGTAAGTAAGAGATACACACTGAATTCCAACTCATAGGGTGCAGCGGCCCCAGGACGGGTACAGAGTCCATGGGGGTACGGCCAGGATAAAAAGAGTTAAGATGTAACTGCACATTTGGGCATCCATTCATGAATAAAGAGAAGGCTCAACTCTGAATCTCATTTGTGTATCACTTTTATCCTCTTATATTCTTTTCTTAACCACTTACAAATATGCTGTTACACGGTACGCTCTGTTTTGTCTTCAAAGGATGTCAGTGATTTGTACGCTCAGTGTTCGGATGGCACTTTCACAATGATGTCATTTGGCAAGACTTTGTTCTGTGGTGGCAGTATCAACGAGCGAGAGTCTATTGTGGCCCGCTGCTTCCCCGTCTGTCTGCTCATAGACGGTGAGTGACTCTCTTCTGCTGGGCTTATTGTGATGCCTAACCTGACTGTGGGGTATCATCTGTTTCAGAACTTCCAACATATATTTCTACATGTACATTTCGTAGGTTTTTACCACAGAGGTGTACTTTTAGTACACTGTATTTGAGGTCAAGGTGACACTGGTTTTTCAGGATTATTCTTTAGCTGAGATAGAACTCTTTTATTTTTAATTTTTAAGAGGAGGTCAAAAAGGTCCCCTGTGCTAATTTGAGGATTTGGCCACTTTATCCTGTACACTGGGTATATAATATGTTGAAACATATCTAATGAAAAATACAAAACTGCTAACTTTTCAATGCACATATTTGTTTTATCCACTTTTGATACAAAATTACTGAAGAATGCTTGCTGTCAAATACGATTTCTTTCTTGTGATTTTTTTTTCTGATGGTATTGTACCGTAGCCCTGATTAACATTAATACATCTTGTGCTCACATCTATTAAGAATTGTCTTCTCACATCCAAGTACAACGAGGGACTCACAAAAAAATCCCCAAAGGACAAGTGACTAACATTGCTAACTGCTCAAAGTTTATTCTGTTTATAGTAAAGGCAGTTTGTAGTCAGGAGTGAATTTGATAGGAGCTGCTGTAGCACCTTATGTTGTTGCTACAGCTTTAAGTGTTATGGACATCAGATGTCACCTTAATTTTGTCAGAGTGAACAGGATAACTGAAAGAATGCCGAATGCATCCCGGAAAACTATTGCTCAATACAATATGCTCATGTGTTAACCCTATCCGTACGCCCTGGGGTCATTTTGTACCCCAGGGTTGTATTCTTCACTTTTTAGAATACTTCTAGTACGAAGATTTCTTTGAAACTTTCAGTATTTAAAAAAAATCGTTTTGACAGACTGCTATGCAAAGCGTACGGATCGGATTAACGAGTAAATTTCTTCTTTGGAAAGTGGTGGCACAGAGTTCCCCCCGCCGTATGGATATGATAGTAAAACACGACGTATGGATAGGGTTAAATGAAAGAAAGGGTTGTCTCGTAAAATTGAGCAAGAGTGTGATACGAGTACATTAGCCAGAAGTTTTGAAGCATGTTTAAAAGCATGTTTATTTTGCACAGTAGAGTTCAATGAAATGGGGAAATCGTTTTGGTGAACAAGTCCTGAGCACACTAACAAACACATCTTCCAAGTTTTTTTCACACTTGGTGGCATGGCTGTGGACCAGACAAACTGACCTCGCTGGCTGGATCTGGTGTGCCATTGTTTGATGACCCCTGTTCTACATTTTTGTTTCTCTTTAAGGTGGAAATTCCTCTTGTCATGAAGTACAGGAGTTTGTCTGGAGTGACCATATTGTGGTGCCGGTCAACTGTTCTTCTGCTACTTTAGTTGGAGACCTCACCGTCACTGACAAGTTGTTTCAGGTCAGTTATCATGTCTGTGGCTAGACTATTGAGTACTTTATTGATCTCTTCCCCATGGATTACCATGGACAACATCATCTTGCAGTGATGTTAGCAAGGTTTTTAAATTATCAAGCAGTTCTCTTTTTGATTACTTTGCTTTCTATTTTACTTATTCCTTAGTGATGTTGAAGACATAATACTTTTAGGTAGAATACGATTACTCCAGGTTGCATGTCACTGGATTGTTGTGTAGAAATTCTGTAGAATTAAGTAGAATAGACATTTTTGTAACACCGTTTTGCTGTTAATATTTTTGAGGCACGAGATGAGTTGATAAAACTATGATTATTGTACATGCAAATTTGAGTCCAGTCTTCTTTTGAAGCGAGGCTAGGCTGTTTGAGAATTGTCAAGGCTTCCAACTCAGCATTTTTAGGGCGTACTTTAATTCAAAAGTCTTTTGTAACTTCTTGTTTTAAAAAGGGTTTCTACCCTTCTCCCTCGGAGACCTAACATTAACAACATACTCTATGGAACATTACAGCAAGGGAAGCAAACTTGCACTTATCACTACATGGCATTGGACAGAAGGGCAAGAGCCCAGCTGTTGCTGGATCAATAACAACAACAACAACAAAAAGGGTTTCAGCTCATATTCAGACAGTTATGCAGCATAGTGCTTTCTCTCCTCTTCACAGGTCCCTGCTGGAGTTTTGGAGGATGACTGGAAACATTTAAACAACAAGAACACCTCTGTGGAGGATGTGGGGCAGGTTGTAGCAAGGATTGTGCAGAGTCTTCTAGACCACCATCAGTCAGAGGAAGAGAGCGCCACCCAGCCCAACACTCCGGATGCTGTGTCCTCCACTGTTGAGCTGTCGGAGCATGAAGTCCGACCTCATATGAAGCAAGAGTCACCCCCCATAACAGGACCCCCAACTCCGGTGAAATTGAGAAGCTTGCATACAATGAAAATCAATCCTCTATAGGAGATTTTGAATGTGAATTATCCCGAGAGATGCTGAGCCGAGTGTGGCGTGGATTTTATTTTTGTGATTGCTTAACTGAGATCAAACTGTTTACCTGTATGTTATGTTGAGCTTGTCATAAATCATTATGTCTCATATTTATTTATTTGTGACTAAATACACATAAATACAGATGCAAAAAAAAGTTGCAAGCCCTCTACGGCTATGTGGTATGAAAATTGGTATCTTTATAAGTGGAGAACACTTTAAGTGTTTTTTAAATAATTGTTATGACTCTTAGAGGTCTTCCTTGTGTCACTAGGTGCCTAGATATTCCTAACAGTACCAAACAAGAAGAATCTGATGTGATGTTGGGTTGAGTAATTACCTGTGATTTTGGCAAGGGGTCATTCTATTTGATGTATCATAAGGTTTCTCTGCCAGTGGACCATAAAATGCCCTTTAGTGGGCTATACAGTTTCTGCTCTGTCTACACTTTTGCAATTTATTTACAGTCATTCTTGCAAATTGTGACAATTAAAGCACAATTTGACTTCCAATAACTGAAAGCCCCCAGTTTATGATGTGATGTGTTTAGTAATGATGTTGTGACAAAGCTGCTTTAAAAGCAATATGAACAAACCTTTTTTCAATGAGGGAAGAAACAAGTAACATCTCTTACCTTGGAGGGGTTTTTTGTGTGTTTTTACCAAATGAAACCTTTACATTTCAGCAATGTAAATGTGTAGTAGGCAATCTGATATTGGTCAACTTCTTCAGTCTCTTCTCAGTGTTCCTATTGTCAGTACCTGTGTTCTCTTCAATATCTGTCCATTATTGTGCCTATTCACTATGTACAACAACTCAGCTCAAACTTTGAGTGGTGTAAAGGTTATGTTCCTTGTGATGAGAAAACTTTGTTTCCATCCATGCCTGTTTTCTCTGATTGTGCTTGTGCCATCTGCTCGTAGAGCTGCTCATTTGATAAGGTGTTTCACTGATAAATATACATACCCGATATATAGTCAGTAATGCACCTTAAGCCTTCACTAGGAAATACACATTTGATTACATTTGTAATATATTTTTTTATAGCTGCTATTTTGAATTTTTTTTCAGTTTGGCATTATATAGTAGTGATTTTTTCAACTTTTGTGGTTGTAGTTTTACAAGTCAGATTTAGGGCATTAGTAAGAAATCTTATTTTTTAGATGGAAACATGCACTCTGTTTCTGTGGGACTTATTTCTACATAATTGATAGCAATGTAGAGGAGCACTCACTCACTTATGTCACTTGTGCACATACATATTTAGTGAGGAAGAAAGGTTGTATAAAAACATTTAGTGAGACATAAAAAGGTTTTATGTTCAGAATGAATAGATTTTGAACCTACAGAGAAGTCTCAAACTATGTAGCTTTGAAAAAGCAAATGACTTTTTACTATTTTGTTAAGACATTAATATATTTTCCTTTATGTTATGGAGGAAGTGGGGTTGTTACTCTAAGGTTTTCGTTTTTCATTTTTCACATTTCATTTACTTAAAATAGAATTTGACATGAGTTCATTTATTTACATTTGTAGTGAAAGTCTATTTCTCTGGCAGTGATCGCTTAACCTGTGAATTCAAGGCTAGTATTTTGTTGGATGGAAATCAGTAGTATCCCATCATCTTAGATGCAATTTTAGGTCCTTGTAATGTTAATAATAATTTCTTCCGACAACTTTGTTTACCCTGCTTATTTTGGTGTGTTTCTTTTTTTTTTGGGGGGGGGGGGTAAATTTTGTCGAGAATATGGTCAGAGATACTCTCTAGGTTGGTGTTTCCTGCACATTTTATTTGTCTAAGTGCACAGATCATGAGGAAGGATGAAGTCAATTGGCCACAAAGCTAGCTCTGTGTAATGCTTGCTTCAAGTAACATGTCATTGAGTTGTGTATTAGGCTGCAAGTACTTGTTCAAGAACTGTCAGTCATTAGATTATAATTATTTATAAAATCTTTCTTTGTATTATTCAATTTATAGACAACATGCGTACCAAACCCATTTATGGACAGAGTTCTTAATTTTTTGTATGTTTTATATTTCTATATGAGTTTAACACCCAAGTAAATACCAAAACAGTTGGTTCAAAGTTTACTTTATAGGGTGGTGCTACTAAAATTCTCATACAATATTTATAAGTTTAGTTTGTTACAGGGTATTTGAGAACTTTTCTATAACTGTAGTTTCCAAAAGTACTGTTCCCATACCTGACCTTAGCTTAAAATGGTGCCGGGGATTGTATTTACTTTTGGAAAATTCCTTCCTGCTCCTTTACTCAGTTTAGTATGCTCAATATACAAGGTTGGCATTCCTCGGTTATACTCAGGCATCTTGTTTTGTTTTATTTTTCTATCTGTTGGGGAAAAGTTTTATTGCTTTGATTACTAATATATCATTTGAGTAAATATCATTTGATAGGCATTTTTTGTTTTGGGGTTTTTCACCCAATATTGTGTTCCACAATCCATTCCTGATAAAGCTTGGAGATTGTCAGTTAAAGATGGGTTTGAGAAGAGAAACCAATGATTGACTATAGTCGTATAAAGCTGCTGAGGTGAGTCCTTGTCTAAAGCTTTTCCCCTCTTTGACCAGAGTTTGGGGATGAGAAAGTCTGAACTTTATCAAGACTTTCTACAAAGACTTCCATTTGTGCTTTATGTTGTTCATAATTCATAAAAATTGTTTGAGACTTTAAAAAGAAATAAGCTCTGGGTTTCTTTCATGATGAAATATTAAGAAATTCAGGTATTCCGACTCGTGAACTAAAAAACGTTGACATTTATCCAGAGTGTCTTATTGTTATGCTCATTGTCATGACTCATGACCATTGCTCCCTTGCATTATTTTTATAAATAATACTGTTGTTTTTAAATCTTTTTTTTTGTAAGTTTGGCATGGTGGGTGTTCAAAGTTATGCTGTGTCTGCATTTTAGAATATATTTTGTTGGTTAAGTTCTGGGCCCAATTTTGATGGGATATAGAGGATATTAAGATGAAGGCTGTAAGGCTTTTTGACATACGCTGTGTAGTTCTCAGCTAATATGGAGTGCAGATATAAAAATATGATGTTTGAAAACTAGTGTTTTATTGGAAAGACCAAAATGGCAGTCTTCCCAATATCATTGTTCCATGGTGCATGAATAGAGATGGAAGTTATGTCGTTTTCAGCAATCCATACGAAAGCTGAGTGGCTGTCCCCGATTTCATTGGTTGTATATTAAATGCATAATTTGCCAAAAATCTTTTATGGGATAAAGCAGAATTTCATAGAGGTGCACTTCTATGCCAGGTTGGTTTATTTGCTTGCAGTCTATGATAAAAAACACTTTTCAAAGAATCAAAGATATAATATTTAATATGACAATCAGTATAGATCACAAACACTGCACTATACCTCCGAATTTTTTCCCCCCCTTTTTGCACCAAGTAACATGCTCATCGTACAGTTTGGAGTCTCAAAGCTCCAGGTAAAATCATCATTCAGTTGGCAGTCACAAAGGAAAAGAAATTTATAGGAAAAGAAAACAAATGTGTCAGAAGGTTTCAAATCTTTCCTTTTTAAACTTAACTGCACTACACCTACTGAGTCTTCACATTCTCTTTGTATTCTTAGTACACAATATGCCCTTTTAGCGTTTGATCCAGCCTGCAGCTTGGCAATTCTTAGGGCCCAAGTATTTTTTTTCCGCTGAAACATTTGTGCAGATTCAATTCAGACCTTTACTCTTGGTCCCAAGGCTCTGTTTTTACTAGTGTTTGGTTGTGAATATGCATTGTGGTAAATTGCAAAATAATTTTCAAATGTATTGAGAAATTATGGACTAGTTTCCTGCTGCCCTTCAAGAAATGAGGTCATTTTTTTTTTTCATACCTCCCAACATCTGTGATAGATGGAGATCTACAAATTGTAAAAATTAACATTTATATTTTGATAACTATGTTGTTTTTGTGCTTACATCGTGGAAGAGAGGAGTGAATGTATTTCTTCAAGGCAAGTCTACTTGAGTTGATATAGATACTGCATGTTATTTTCATAATGTTTAATATCTTGACCCTTAAGGTTGTTGTAAGTTCTGTGAAATTAATTGTAGAGCCCTAATTTCTGTTATTGTCATTATTGCCCCGATTAGGCTTCCATGGGACAGCGGTGTGTGTTAGTGTTACATTCTGTCTGAAGACAGTTAAGTTGTCATGATTCAGTGTCATATTCCTTAATTGAATCTTGTTCTTCAATATCATAATACATGCCACTGCCAGTGATTCTGTGCTTTTTATAAAGATGAAAATGTAAGGGGGTTTTTTCTGCTGTAATGAGTGTTTTGTGAATTCAATGTTCTGTTGCAAGATTTATGTAAGTACTGACTTTGTGATTTCTTTCTTTTTTTTTTCAAGCAGCCTCATGATATAGATTGTTATCATTAAGAGTGTGTCTCCTTTGTAGTAGCTGTGACAGTATACAACAACTGACAACAATGCAACTGTAATAAGGTATTCATTCAGCCAAAGTAATGTGCAAGATGGTGCTGAGAATTTTTTAGCAGTTCTGTTTAACTCTGTGTTCAGATTGTTGACAATATGCTTTGGCTGTGACCAGTCTAAAGTACACGCACAGACCAATTTGTTGAAAAAAGTTTATTCCGATTTATCCAAAGAAAATCTCATTGTATACTTATACTAGTTTTTTTATGTGAAAAATATTTATTTTTTTCTTTTGGGCTGAATTTGAAGCCCCTCAATTTGCTGTTTGTAGAACAGTAAGTTTCTTTGAATACAATTCGTGGCATGACAGATGGTGTGTACTCCAGTGTGTACCTTCTGTCGGTTTAAAAGCAGTCTGGTGGATCTTAATTTGACTTCAGTCTGATCAGTCTCAGTTTCTGGTCACCATCATGTCATATATGATAAATACAATTGTTTGCGTTTACCATTGCAGATCTTGCCTCCAACTCTAAATATTTTGGTGGTGCTGTTAAGTTTTGTTATTAAAGACTTACCTCTTTTAATTTGACCCATTGTGTGTATAAGTAACTGCCACCATTATTCATCAGAAGAACCTTTTCAATGATTCTTAAAGTGTATTCCATGGATATTTTATGTTTAAAAAGTACTATTTTATTTTTTCGAGCACAGTATGCTTTCAGCATATTGATCATTTTGGTTCTAAACTGAGTTTATTTGACATCATAAGACCTCACTTTATGTTCTTTGAAACTGTGCATGAGATTCTGATTTTCATTTCAGGTTATTGCAGGCCCAAGGGAAGTAATGTTTGTGATGTGCAAGCTGGGGTTTGTTTTTGTTTTGTTTTTGGGTTTTTTGGAGGGGGGTGTTCTATGGTTTTGTTTCTTTTTCCTTGTTTTTTTTTTGTTTTTGGTTTTTTGGGGGGGGGGGGGTTAATACTTAAGATGGATCAATTTATTGTCAGCTTGTCACTACATGTAGGCTCAGTTTCTGGTCCTTTGATGTATACAACCTTTCAGAATTCAAAGACTGGCATTCTTTCCTTATTTTTTTGTCCAGATAATGTCTTGTCTTTACCTCATTGAGGATTGCAAGCTTGAGCGGCAGCCATATTACGGAAAATCTATTTGTATGATGGAATTGTTGGAAGGGGCAAAAAGTCACATAGAGTTATCTTTAAAGATAGACCTAGAACTTCATTGTGTTATGGATTATTGCAAGATATATTATTTATAAATTTTTGTTACAAAGGATTATGCTCAGAGGCTATTTTGAATATTTTTCGGAAAATTATTTTTGAGAGCACATAGCAGCCCAAATTCTTGCTAAAATCTAAAACTGTATATTCCTGCTATGGACACATATTCCTTTTCTTGCAAACCTCCAACTGCACCATACCGAATGAAAGAGAATTTTATTGCCTTTCTCTTGGGAGACTCAGTGGGCATGAATATTATAACAGCAGAAAGGAACAGAAGAACTGCTCAACTTTCATTTCACTCTCTTTGCAGCCTCATGGGAAACTTTTTAAAGCCATTTTCTCAAAACTTATCCTTCACACCCGCATTTCTTTTGAACTGAAGTAATATAACTTTGACAGAATGCTACAATTGCAGCCAAATAAAGTTTGAAATGTTTTAAACAAGTGATCCTTTTAAGATTAGCAAGAATGTCAATTTTGAAAATGTTCATCTTCTTCCGATTTTTCTCAGAGTCAAACACAATTTTGTTGTTGGTTGTTTTAAAAGGAAGAATTTATTCCTTCCCCCTCCTCTTTTCCTGCCTCCCTTCATCTCTCCCTCTCTCTCTCTTTCTGTCTCTTTCTCTCTCTCTCTCTCTCTTTCTCTCTGTCTGTCTCTTTCTCTCTCTCTCTCTCTTTGTCTGTCTCTTTCTCACTCCTTCTCTCAGCTACATATTTTTTATTTCATTGGTGGGACCAATTTCTTCAATGTGTCTAGGATTTCCTTCTGGAAAGCCGTCAGAGTAAAAGGCAACACATGAAGTTTAGGTCTTTTCTACAAATCATCGTCAATTCCCTTCACCCTTGGCTGGCTATAGGTCAAGGACAAGTAATTTCCTTCCCTTTCTGTCTTGGGCACACTTTTGTGACTGACCTCAGTTGTGCCCCATCTTCCACATAACGTTCTCCACACAATTTTTTCCATGTTTCCTGTGGCCCACCCCTCTACCGTCATTTTTAAAAATACAGTACATGCAGTTTTACGAATTTACAGGAAAGTCAATAAAACAATAATTGTTTTAAAGATAATAAGGAAGTTGTTATCAAAATTGTACTCTTAAGATATATTGACTTGGGAGGCTTGCAAAAAGTTTATTTTCTTGGTAAAAATGTAAAAACTGCATACATTGTATCTTCAAAAATGACAGCAGTCCTGATTCAAGTTGTCTGAGGATTTTATATACCCTTGTACTTGTCTGACAATGTTGTTTCTTGTTTTTCAAAGGGTTTGTCCAACTCAGCGCCATCTGCCTAGGCAGCCCGAGAAGCTGTCGTAGTCAGAAGTTTTTCTGACTAGGAATATGATCAACTGAATGTTATTAATGCTACATTTTATTCCGAGTCTCTTTGCTTGGATTCTTATTTCCACAGTTTGTAATCTGATTGTCTTTAAACAGACTTATTTTATCTTGTGCTTTGTGTTTTTAATGTTGGCACGATTATTGTTCATTGTCTCTTCATAGCTGAAAATTTTCCTTAGAAAAGTCAGTTAAATTTTGTCTCTTTACTAAAATTTTAGTTGTTATTGTTCCTTGCCTTATGAGAAGAGAAAACACGGTTAGTGAAATTCCCGCCACTGTTCCTGTTTAAGTGCAACAGTCAGAGTGCAAAGAAGAAAACTCTGAAAAGTTACATTATTCACTAATTTTTAGATCACGGGTCTAGGCAGCTCTTTGTGATGTAGAATTCCATTGTGAAATACCTCTCAATGTCTAAATTGTGAGTCACATTGTCTCCTCCAGATCTATGTTTTATGTTTGTTTTGTGGTCTACTTGTTCCTTTTAACTTATTTTAAGTGTGCCTTTGCAAGTAGTTTATAAGCTCCTTCACAGATGGAACGTTTGCATTTTCATCAACTGCAAAATCCAACCTTGTAATTTCATCACTCTTAGAAAGTGTTGATTGTAATTTGAACTCCTCCTGCTGTGTTTCTTTTTCTTTTGTGGTGCTCAATATTTTGTACTAAGGATTAAAGACGATACTAAGGCTTAAAGACGAAAGTTGATAAGCAGTGGAAATGAATGCATTTGTGTGTCTTTTTGTACTCATGCATTAGTTGTTTTGGGTTTTTTTTGCTCTTTCTTTAAATGCTTTTAAAGAGAAAAATGTCAAGTTATTATGTTCTGTGGCAGACATGTTCATTCACTGTATTTTTAATGACCTGTATTGCATTGCAAGGACTGCAAAATGTGAATTATAAACCCCAAACAAATTTTGTTGAGGTGTTCAATATCATACTGGTATGATGTTTTATTTCATCTTTTTCTTCACAGTAGAAATAGGAACAGTCGCTAGCCTAGAGATTCAATTTGCGCGATTGCTGTCATCAACCTGTCATTTTCTCTGTGGAGGCAGGAAAGTAGTTATCTCCATAAGTGACACATCATGGCATGGGGGATGGCCGGAAAAATGCTACCTCTGTAAGTGATAAGAGCATCCCCTGCTCTCCTTTGTTTGTACAACTCGGTCAGAATATTATAAAATGTGAGGCGTGCTGACAAAATGAGTTACTTCTCGCAGTCCACAAATGGAGATATTGGCCAATGATCGATACAAAGGTCAAATTTGTAGAGTTTTTTTTATTAATGTCATTGAAACTATAAAATATATTTTATTATTTCATACTAATAAATTGTCAAACTTTCACCCATAAGAGTGAAATATCTTTTTCCATAATATAAGGCTTGAAACCGAGAGGTAACTCATTTTGTCAGCACGCTTCACAAATATCTGAGGCATGCCTAAGATCAGTGAGTAGCTTCCCATGAGGTTTGATCACTGAGACAGGTAACTAGTTTGTTTGGGGTATTTTGTTTTTCTTGAAAATGGATTGTGCATGCCCCTTTATACAGGGCTCTAACTCAAAACAGAAATGTGATTAAATATGTACTAATATTTTTGTAAAGTTTTATTTTATACTATATGTCATGGTAAACATTTAAATTCTCTTTCTTTTTTATCCTCCCATTGGATATCTGGGGTAGTCTCTCTATCTTACTGTCATATATTGATCTATACCTCTAATCTTCAGCTCTGATGTGACCTACTTATATTGCAAGTACCATGAAACTCCTACCAAAACTAAATTAAAAGTGGAGGGGGGGAGATTGTTTTCACAACTCAGTTTGAGATTGGTTGGACTGTCCCCATGGTTTTATGCACCTCTCATAATTTGGCAAAATTTGATCAATTTTTGTTTAATTTCTGATTATTTTCCTTGATCATTCTTTGTTAAAATTAACAGAATTGCATGATTTCACATTTTTGGGCTCAGTTTGCATAATTTCAGAATTTTTCTTGCATAAAACGACGGGGACAGGTTGGAGGAATAAAGTGTCTGAAGAAGCAATGAATTTTCCATGAGATTTACCTGGCTCTTTCAGAATGTGGTCTGCATGGTTTGACTAATCATTAGTTTCATGTTTAATAGGATACAGAGGTGTAGTTCCTGCTACGTACTCTAAGTGGAGGTGGTGTGCCCAGTTTTTCCTACTCAAGGATTTGGTTAAAAGACCTTTCAGTACTCGTTTTAATCAAATGGAATCCAGTGCCTTTAAATTATGACCTCTTAAAGTAAGTTAAAGAAAGTAGCTTTATAAAAATATATCTTGTGGTTTGGTTCCAGGATTTCTTTGCTCTAAGTCAATGTGTTAAGCTTTAAATATATATTATGCAAGACAGATTTTAACGTCCTGGAAGATGACCTTGATAAAGACGTCACACAGGTGAGCATTTGAAGTAGAAATGGAGTAAGACTTGCAGCTTATCTAATTTTGCACAGTGTGAAGTACTGTCAGTGAATACTCATCAGCGAGTGTTTTGGGGGGAGAAGAAGAGGAGTATTTTAAGCAATGTGTCCATACTCAGTTCCCTTATATTACTTAATGTGCTCCAAGAGAGTTGTATAAAATATGGACTAATTTTTCATGTGTCAGCATCTTAATATTTAGTGATACATGCCTTGTTACTGTTGTTTTTTTGTTTCATTCAGCATTTGCCATTCATTGAAGTTGGGTTATGTTCTGCCATGCTTTGCTTTGACAGTTAAATATGAAGTCGGTGTGAACTATATTTTTTCACCAAACCTATACTAATGTATTGCGAGGGATCCCTGGAGGACTATTTAACTGTTGTATTATTGAGTTATTGAATATTCTTGTTCAAAGAGAACTTTAAACAAATAATCGATATTAATTCTAAAGATTTCCTAAGTGTCTGATTGCTTTCGATTAGTGTTTAAAAGGAAAACACACATTTTTTTGTTTCCTGAGGTACACATGTTCATCCACTTGTTACGTTGCAGATTTGCAACAAGAAAAGCTAACCTCAAAATATTGTTAAATCTAGTGGGAAAATTTAAATCATGTATAGGTCTACCCTAATTTTCAAAACCTCAAGTTTTGAATGCTGTACAAAGGTTATTCTTTGTGTAGCAGCGGTTGGTCTTTCATGTTTAAATGGACATGATTTTATTTTTTTGCTTTGAAAAATCTGAAGCAGAGATTTGCACTCTGGTCATATTTTTTTCAGACTGATGTGCAGTTTCTTAATTCTGATGACAGAAACTTAGAATGACTTCTCTGTGTTTTATGTAAGGGTAAATGAAGTTCTCAGTGCATCGCAATTTTTCTAGGAAGTATGAACTGCATGATGAATTGTCAGGTGTTTCATAGAAATTCATTTTATTCTCATTTTAAAAGTATAATTAGATTGTCTGTACTCTTTTGGTGTCCATATATTTCTAGAAAGTAAATGCAAAGCTATATATGTATGATTATGTTCACCTTTCCTTTTGGCTCTTACCTATTATCTTGATCATATTTCAACAGCTAGAAAAGTTTATGTGTAAAAAGCATAATAATTATATTTCTGAAAGAGGTACTTTAGCAAAGAGTTGTTCACACAGTCCTTTACAAAATGATAAATACTGCTGTTGAGTATAATGTTCACCTTTGTATGGAATATTCAATCAATTGCTGTTTTAAAGAAACAAGTATTGCATATTACTTATCAAACAATTTCTTTGACACCTATTGTCATCTTAATATTGTATAACTTGATCATTTTAAGAAAGAACTGTCAATCAGTGGTTAAAATAGTGACAGCTTATACTCTTTTCTGATTGTGTATTCAACAATGCATTGTTGGAGCATGTATCCATGCAGTCTCTCAACACTGAGCTATGAAATGTTTCCATATTGCCAAAAGAAGTAAAAAGAAATATAATTGGCGAAGTTTCACGCCCCCATCGACACTACTTAGATCATTAACAAGGTGGGCTGCTTCAACCCTGTTAGGGCCAACTCGGAATGAGCGGGAAACAACATCCCAGCAAAAGACGGAGATACTCGATAAAAACTCTCCCATTACAGGAATTGAACTCCCATCTTCTGCATGGGACAAAGAAGTGCCTAACAGCTGCACCACAGAGGTTGGTCCTAAAGCAATTAGCGTGAGGATATTGTACAAAGAAAACTTGACAGGTCAGAGTGTTGAAAGCTAAACATTGTTGCCCCATGAAAACTTGTTTGTAATAAGAATAGAAGAAAAGCAAATACAGATTACTGATTCTTCCAAGTTGAGTAATGATTTCAATTTTGATTCTGGTAGTTATGCTAGGTTATGTTGTCATACTTTTTTTTTAAAGCAATATCTGATTACTGTTGTTCCAGTACATGCACTCATACTATATTCATGTACATGAGTTTTCTTGTAGATGCAAAGATTGTCTTGTTTATTTTACTTATTAGAACATCCAGTGCACTGATATACTGAAGCCATAGCCATTTTAAAAATTGCAACTGTCTCTCCTCTGGAGATCACAAACTGTATTCAGAGAGAAGCTTACAATAATATATTCTTATTTAGAACAAAACTGTCATGGAATTCATGCTTTGCTACAGTGATTTACCCCCATCAGATTCTGTTGAATCCTATATTTAATTTACGCTATACACATGTAATATGGGACTATTTTTTATGCAGAATGAAAAATGAAAAAGTTTTCCCTTTTAATGTCATGGAAAGAAGCACATTGTTTTAAAAATCATTGAATGTCAAGTTAGCGAGGTATTTCCACATTGTGATGCCGTTGCAGCCTGCTGACGTCACATTGACATGTAGCACTCTTGGTATGGATGTCTAACATCAAGATTAGCTGCTGATGCTTCACTGTATCACTTCATAAAGATCTGAGAAATGTTTCCTCCACAGCAAGGAAATACACACCATTTGCCTTTGAAAACAGAGTTTTTGTGTTCAGTTTCAATTTTCTAGATTTACTTTGTATTGTTTAGGTTTTTGTGGCTTTTCTCACTTTCTTTTTTCTTTTTGGTCACTGATCTCTTGGCTGGTGAGATAAAAAACCTAGTTGTCTCTGATATGAACAAAAAGACCTCAAGACCCTGTCTACCAGTATATAAAAAGACTCCTCGACTGTTGAAAGTTACAGAATACCAGGTTTACCTTGGCCAAATTCTTAATTCATTATTTCCAAAATCTGAAGAAACTCGTATCACCTTAAATAGTTACATGGGGGCTCTAGTGGCCGAGAGGTTAAATTGTTAGCCTCTCATTCAATAGATCCCGGGTTTGAATCCGTATAGCGACATAAAATTTTCTCTAAAATGTTATCCTTTCATATCCTTTCATACTCTCTAACAATGTTCTGTTGTCTGCTTTCATCTCCACTTTCTGCCCCTACCCCCTCACCTCCTTTGCCCCCTCCTCTGGGTTTCCGACTCTTTCTGCAGCCTTTCTACTGCTTCTCCTTGGCTTCTTCTTACTGCTGGCTGTGCTGATTGGTAAGTTTTTATTTCTATCTTTTCAAAACTAAAGCCTTAAACTTATAAAAGTCGAATGCCTTTTCCATTCCTCCAGATTGCACCCACATTCGTACAAGACGTTCTACTGAAAGAGAATCCCAGATACAGTTGTGCAGTACATCTTTCTTTAATTGTTTTCAAAGGGTAATTACAAGTAACAATTCAATAACCATCAAAAAGGAGAACCTGTGTTACACTACCAGTAACAATTCAATGTTTGAAACAATGGTCAATGTTGTGTCATACTTATATCAGTACTATCACTCTCACACAGAATATTGTCACAACAAAACAAAATCCAAATATGGTCAAATGTCAAAGGTTCTTCGTGAGAACAAAACAGAAGTCTTTGTGAGAACTGACCCACAGAACGATCAGTCTAAAAGGAAGGCAAAATAACAATTGGATCATATCACATGTATAATGTTCCTTGCCATGGAAGAATTCTTAACATTAAATGTAAGGCATTTACACCCTCTACCAGTCCTGTGTGCTACAACCCCAACAAAATGTGCATTGAAACACTCAAAAGTATATTATTTGAAAACATTTAACTGTCTATCCAAAATAATACAATTAAAGTTCATCAATCTTCGGGAACATTCAAACTACGGTAGAGTCCGCTTAAACCAAACACAATCCAAAAACAGTAGTAAACCAAGAGAAAAGATAATTCCCGATTTTTTTAAATTTCTATTTGAGCAACCTCCCTAAATCAAAAACCTGGCTAAACCGGAGAAAATGAAGCAGTCCCACTGATTTTGGCTACAGCAGACTCCTTTGTTTATACTCAACAATAAAAACAGAACAAGTCACTTCATGCACTCTCACTTTCTCTCTCTCAACATACCATGTATCTATTGTACATATACGCTTCAAACATATCATAAATCCTTAGTCAAAAGGAGGAATCCCAGTATTATAATACCTCTATAAAGTTAACAGCTTCTCTGTATAAATGTGAGATAAGGAAATGAGCTGGTCTGGTTCTTGACTAGACAAACAACAAAATGTCAGTTTTTAAAAAGTATGAAATACAGCAAAAAAATTAAGATCTAAAAATAGGAGTAGTTGCTAATGAGAAAAAACAATTAAAACAATAAAATTTGGAGAAAAAAAAACAAAAACCAGGATACTCAGTTGTTTTTCACTCGCATCCATCCTCTGATTTTTTACAGTGATTCTCCTAGAAATCTACATTTCAAGGGTGTTCTTGAATAATCATTGAAATAATTATTCAATACAGAAGAACAAATTTCACAACAGCTGAATTCACAATTTAGTTTAATTTTTCCAAGAATTAACCAAATTTTCAGTGAATCATGACTGCAAAAAAATGAGAGGTATTATAGTGAAAAGAAAACTTAGTATTTACCCTCGATGGCTTAGCCGATTTGCTACAGATGAAACATTGGTAACACAGTCATGTGGCATCACTACCAAAACAATCATTATGATCAATTATATTTATTTTCGAGGTAGTTGTACAGCACAAGCAAGCCACACTTATCAGCTCAGAAGAAAGACCTTTCATTTTATGTCTGAAAGCTGCCATTTTTTACACAGTTGGAAGAAACTCAAATAACTTCACAAAAATATTCTAGAGGCAAGAGAGAGACAATGAAGGTACATTGAAGGATGATCGTCATCCTCACCTCTTGTGTTGCCGTAATGGTCATGAAGGACATCTGTTCATTAAAAATGGCACATGTCTTTGATGCCTCAGAAAGGAGCACATTCCAAAAACTAACTTGCCAAAAGAAATATCATGAACACTGTACATCAATGTGAAATTCTCAAAGCACACAAACTCATAACTTTCTCATCCCTGACAGCTGAAGGCACAAACAGCAGCACAGCCCTTCCTCCAAGTCTTTTACTGAGCAGATTCTTTCTTGTTGTTGTTACTCAGCTCACCCTCCACCAGCTTCAACACCTGCACAGCTGCATCAGGAATACGAGTACCTGCAACAAGAGGATATTGAGATTTTGGTGAATAAGAAAAAGTATACTTTATGGATCCTCCTCTGGAAAAAGTCATTGTTGAGCGTAATATCTAGATCTTCACTGAGACACCAAATTATCAAATAATATGTAATATTTGGGCACATTATATTCCATGTATGTAAAGAGAAATTTAGCTTTTGCTGGGGTAAAAGACAAGGGAAAAAAAGAATTCTTTCAACATGACCACTAAAAGAGAAAAGAAATTTGTCCCAACAAACACACAAGGCCACGGACTACTGCAGCAAGTCATGTAAATCTGATAGTCTGTGTATCTGTGGGTAAAACACGGGTGCCTTAGTGAACAAAAGCAGATATTTCTATCCCAAAAAGTGTACCTGAATATACGGTACTAGATACAGCATAGCTCAACTTCAAAGTTAAAGACCAAATCTCCAAGCATGAAATTTTCAATAAAGAAAAAGTGGGCAAAAATGAATTCGCCTCATACCAGGGCCAAAGACGGCAGCACAACCAGACTTGAAGAGGTCTTCGTAGTCTTGGGGAGGAATCACACCACCAGCAACAACAACAATATCCCTGACGAAAACAAAATTAAACAAAGGAATCAGAGCTGAAATAATATCAAAGGAAGAAGTCATTTAAGAGTGTCCGTCATTTCAGATATCCCACTTTGTGAAAACTCAAAACCCTCATCCACAAGAAAATTATAAATCCTCATGTACTTGTCATAAACAATATACAATATCAGGTAAAAACAAGTGGATTAAAAGAAAAACATGAAATTTGTAAGTACACAACTATTATTACACCAACGACCATAATAAGCAACACAATTTCCTTCATGTAACTTGTATACGTTTAGCTGATCTCATTCCTTTCATTTCTTTCAATGCAGTAATCCTCATACTAAAAGTAACATTTCAGTATCTGCAAAAGATCTTGGACAATGCATAAAGATCTGTGACAACATTAAATATGTGCTTCGTACATAACTTTGCCATTTAACAAGCAAGATTGCAAATCAACAGTATTCTTCACAAGACCATTATTATAGCAATGTTTGATCATGTAAAACAAGAGTGCACTTGTAAACTTACATAAAAGACAAGAGAGCTATTTGACTTTTGCTGAGCCCACATACTCAACCTCACAGGTCCTAAATCTATATTTCTTATGTAGCAAATCACAAACAGATACTCACGGCCGTCCCATGTTCTTCAGCTCTTTAATAATTTCTGGGATCAAAGTCTTGTGTCCTGCAGCGAGAGAACTAACCCCAACAATGTGAACATCAGCATCAATGGCTTGCTGGGCAGCTTCTCTTGGGGTCTGAGGGAAGAAAAATCGGAAACTGTTCATTCGTGGTTGTGGCACAGGAACAAGGAATTGGACAATCACACGTCTTTCATATCAATTTCATCCATACTGCTGATCACTGATACGAAATAAAGAGTTACTTCTGAATGCCTTAGCTTTCTGATAGCCACAATAGGAAGGAAACACAGAGATAGATTCTGAAAATTTTGTGTTTGTACCAGAAGTAACTTAAAACTTCTGCTCACTGAACGCAAGAGAAACAAAACAAAACTTAAACCCTGGTACTTTCCTCAAAATGATAACAAAGTTGAGTAATACTGATTCTGCACTTTCAATTCCTCCAATCATTGAATAGCAAAGTAATTTCATTATCTAAAACTAGTAAAACTGCATCCATTCACAATGGTCAGCATAATATGTAGTATTACAATTTTTGCCAACAACACTTTCATCCTACTGACACACTCAAAAGACAACACTCACAGCAAACAATGGTCCCACATCCACATCAAATCCCATGTCAGCGAAACCTGTAGCAATCACTTTGCCTCCTCGGTCATGCCCGTCCTGACCCACTTTAGCAACAAGGATACGAGGTCTCCGGCCTTCAGCCTCCACGAATTTCTAGGAGTGGAAAAAGTATACAGAAAAAAATTTGGTTCAGAAGAGTAAATTATGCTAGGGTGTATTACTTATACTACCATAAGTTAAGTCAGTTTCATGATGAGCTGCTTTGCCGTAGCAGACAATTCACCTTTTTTCATTTTGGCGCCAAAACTTTTATTAGCTGATCAGTTACCCTCCTTGCGTGAAAAAATCAAATTGAAACTGTGATTAGTGAATTAGAATTCAAATTTCGGAATGACTCTATTTTTAAATTTGATGCCCATCATCGCTTTTTCTGGACTCCTTTGTATATATATTCTTTTTCTTGCTACTGGGAACAATCAACACGCTTCTTTACAACCACGAAAGCGGAATAGAGAATCAATCTATGCATTTGTTATATTTTTGGCAACTTGGAAACACATGTGTCACTTTTCTCTCAAGATTTATTGCTCCATTCCAGTAGAGTGTAAATATAGTAGATCAATGATATTCAGTTGATGTTAATGCACCAATCATTCCTTTCACCGAAAGGGGGCCAGGCTAGATTAAATTGAAGGTCTCATCTTCTAAATAACAGCATAGAGTTGAAAGGACAGATTAGTAGTCATTAATATATCAACTGGTCAATGTGAGATTGTTAAATATCACTTTTCAAAATGGCATATAGTGGAGTCTTATACTAAGAAGTCGATATGCCTTCAAAATTGAGAAAGAAAAAGAATCCAACAACTCAAAGAGAGCAGGCAAAATAATGGATAGCATTTGATATGTATACAGACACATAAGAAATGATGTTCAGCTCAAATATGTACAGACAGGAACTGCAATAAATACTATGAATAATCTTTTTTTAATTAAAAAAAAACAAACAAACAAACAAAGGAAGAATAAGTGAAAAAATGCATTCCACTTTTAAAAAATAACAAGGTCCTTCAAACAAAATAACAAGGTCTTTCAAAGTCAACAGTAACCAAAATCTTGCAAAAGGGGCAAACAAAAGGTTTATAAAATATGTCATCTTTATTGGTTTATCCATTTTAAAATAAAAGATTTTAAATAGCTAATACCATCTCCTGTTTCTATTAACAAGACAATTTTCAAATTGGATAAAAATATCAGCACTTACCTGGACTCTCTCCATAACAACCTGTAGCTCATCCACTTCCCCGAACTCCGTCTTGTAGGCTCCACTCACCATCCTGTCACTGGCAACATGGCGGCCAAATGCCTGATAAAGAAAGATAGCAAAATCTGAACGAGACAAATTAAACAGCACCAGGATTTTGTAGTGTACTGCTCTTATAAGTCCACATTTTAAGAAAAAATAAATGCCCTACACAAACATGAAAGTTGTGGCTCAGTTTGCCACTGGTCATAACGCTAACAGCCATATTTTGCCCGGTGCAGATTAAAATAACAAAAACACAGAAAAGAAGTTTTGGTTGTTGTTGTTATTAATCTAGTGGCCTTTGAGCCTGTGCTCTTCGTCCCAATGCCAGTTTAAAAAAGGTGGAGGTTTTCAACATTTCGATACCTCAGAATTACAAAAAACATTTTTAGCCGTTTTGAGTTACGAAGACAATGAGGTCAGAAACCAAATCTTCTATCTGCTCTATTAAAATCTTAAGATTATACGGAGTTGTTATGAAGATATTCAAAGAACTGCATTAAAAAAAGCTTGACATGTTGTGAAACTCAAACTTTCTAATGTCAAATTTTTTTAAACTAGGAACTGATTAGATAGAACTTTGTAATTCTAGGTTAGCGATTAGTTCTTTGCCTCAGTCTTGGATATTGTTTGTAGTTGGGACAGGAGGAAGAAGTTGCCGTCGGAAAACCTGCCATTTGTGACATTCAAAGGACAGATGCTGAACTGTTTCGTAGAAATTATCACAAAGTAAGCATACCGATGATTTATTTTTCGGAGTTGATTTTGTTTAGATGGTAGTTTGGAGGTATGTGCTGCGTTCGGAGGCAGAAAATTGTTGTTTGTTCCCTTCTGTTGAGGGCTTTTTCGATATCGGTTTGGTCCACCTTACTCATATGATTGTAAACTGATCTGCTAGTGCGACCTCTTGTCCATCAATTCATCTATTGAAAGAAGTAGAGAAAAGTCCCACTAAAGTGCCTAACAAGTGTCTGAGTCAAACAAATGACCCACTAACCTCCTCCATGGCATCAGAGATTTCACCAACCGTGGCTCTATGGCGGGCAGCCTCTATGCTGAGGGCCAATAGATTTCCATCGCCGCTCTGAGCACACGCAGTGATGGCATCCAGACTCTGCTTTACCTAAAATAGAGAAGAAAGCAAGGGTAGTCATTTTAGCATTACAGCACTCGCAACACAAATACTTCAAATTAGTGCCAAAGATCAGAAGTGTTACTAGAAAGAAACATACAAAGAGAAGAAGGAGGAAAGATAAGGATAATAGACGTGAAAAGGGGGGAAAAAGAAACAAACCACAAGGGAGCACCCACCAATCCATGAGTAGTCATCAGGTAACAGAAAATATATTTGTATGTACCATATAGGTAGAAACACAAGCCAAGTTGGAATCTCAGAATTTTTTTTCATGATTGACAATCTCTCAAACACACTTGTCACTATCTGTATCTATTAAGTTCTATCCTCATTGTTTTGATCTCAAATCATAGAGCAGAAAAGAAAAAAGAATGAAAATCAGATAGAACATAAATGAAAAGCATCTTTTGAGCTGTCTCACCTTGGCGCTGTCCCTTGTAGCCTTCACCTGGGCCAGGCGGGCACACTGCTTCTCTCTCACTATGGTGTTGTCAATGCTGAGAACATCTACTGTCTCCTGCTCTGGCAGTCGGTACTTGTTCACTCCAACAATAACCTCTGTGAGTCATAGAAATTAATATGTATGGCATGCAGACAAAATGAGTTACTTCTCATAACTCACAAATGGAGATATTGGCCAAAATTCAACACTAGGGTCAAATTTGTAGATTTTCTATTTATGCCATATTCTTTAAGAATAACATGCCTTTTATTATTTCATACTTATAAATTGTTAAAACTTCACTGATAAGTGTGATGTATCTATTTCCACAGGGCTCGAAACTGAGAAGTAGCTTATTTTGTCAGCACGCTTCACATATCTTGCGGCAGTTTTGAGAGTAACATAAAAAGTAATTTTTTAGAGGCAATCTTGAAAGCAACAGTAATGAAACAAAACAATTCCATTTACTCTTCCTTCAAGACATATACAAAATACAACAGAAACAATTCATTATGTTGAGATGACATACTTTTGTTCTTATTCAACCTTGAAAGAACAAAAAGAAAAGTTATATGCTTTGATCTTTCATCAGTAGAAGTCAACAACAACAAAAATGTCAAGAACAACAGCAGCATATAAATTGTGATGTTCATTTACTTCAAACACAAAAATGTGCAGGTCATTTCTATCACGGTTAATTTTTTATTTTGAAAAAAGAAAGGATTATCTTCAACAACTCTTTGAAGTGAATTGTATTGAAGCTCTCAGTTCACAAATCTTCCAGAACTGTGGTACCACACCAGAAACTTTCTGATAAATTAGCACGATGGACATACTGATGTCCATGTACCGTGCAAAAAATTCACAACTAGAAAACACCGTTTGTTATTAGAATTCTATGAGTTCTTGAATTTTATTATCACTTTCAGCAGCTGAAGGGAAATATTTAACAGTTCACATTAAAGTTGTTCTGTCTGATTGGACACAAATCATAGCAGCTGACAGGGTAATGTTGACCTGAACAGTTTTTGTCCTTATTAGAAGAGCCCTCAAAAGAGACAAATAACTGAGGGTATGAAATATAGAATTCATCAGGACTAACATATAATGGGAACGGTGGGGGGGGGGTTGGGTTACTTTTGGGCATGTTCCTTTTTTTTGGTACAATTTGCATAAACATGATGGACACTGACCTGATCCTGTGTCAATGCGAGCTTGTCTTCTGGCTGCACACTCTTCTATTCTGAGTTTAGGCATGCCCGATGCCACTGCTTTAGCCATGCCTCCCATATCCTCAATCTGATAAGGGAAAACAAGAGAAAGATAACAAAATTCCAAAGATCCGAACAAAGTACTAAAAATAAGCAAAGAAAAATTCGACTTACTTTGAAAATATAGACTATGAAACTGAAGGAATAAAGTAAACAAAAAGGCAAGTACCAAAAATTTGGAACACAACATTTCATTTGAACTCAAACAGGCTCAAAATATAAGACCCAAAAGTTCTACCTATAAAGAACAAGTTAAAATTTTAATCAGCAGCTAGGAAAAGTTATCCAAACAATAAAAAAGACATAAATCAAATCTCTGTAAATGCCAAACAGGATGTTGTATCCCTATAAAAGAAAAGAAACTTACTTTATTTTCATGTTTCCTCCCAACTGTAAATAAATACTCTAATCTAACTGTCTGCCATGTTGTAAGACCCTCTGAGATTGAACACACAAAATGGAATAAACTGGCCAACTAAGTGAGTTACAGTTTTGGGTGGGTCTTTTATCAGAGGGGATAAACAACTGGAAATAAGTGCTATAACTTAATAATGTTAACTCTGAAAACAAAAGTATACCTCCTTGAAGTCATCAACGACCTCTGTAAAGGAAACCGGAACGACTGGCCACTATCCATATGAACTTCTACAAAATTTCACAGTTTTCTCTCAGTTACACAAGCCAATGACTTTTACTACTAGAAGTTTTACGGCACTCGCAACTGCATAAGGTCATATGAGCGCCAAGGGGTGGATGTCAACTGAAAAGTCCTTACAGGGAATCAGACTTACTCTGCTCACCTCTCTAGCTTCAACAGCACAAAGTCTGCTTCGACTGTCAAGGCACCCCGCAAATAGCGGGTCACAAGAGAGTGACAAACATACAAAAGAAGTAGAGGAAAATTGACGATAGTAATAGTAAGGATTAGGAAAGAAAAAGCAGCAGTTCCCAGTTGAAGTTGAGGCACAGTTATGAGCATGACATTGATGAAACAGCCCATTTACAATTACAATTCTACTGTGCATAAGAACATGGTTAATGTCCCCCCTTTGGGAAAGGCCTAAATACACTTCAGTCAGTAGCACCGCCCCAGGGGGAGCCAATGACTTCACACGTGAGGCCAGGAACACCTACCTCTGTGATCAATTCTAGAGCAGCATCGTAGATCTGAGAGGTCAGATTCTCCATCATGTAGGACCCCCCCCAGGGGTCTGCAACCTAAAGAAGGAAGGTAAATGGTTACATTTGTGTCATGACACGATGGAATCAGGCGCTTGTCAATTTTTGGGCATATGGAGCTACTGGCATCACCCTAAAGCTTATTCAATTGTCTTGCTTTCAGTGAAAAAAATTATCTTCAATATGAGTCGAGACATTTGCGATTAAAGGAGGTAGGGGTTGACTAGTTTCAGACGTAAAAAGCTTTACAGTCCTTGGAAACTGTAAATTTGCATTTTCTGTGCCTTTGATCAAAGTTTTCAGAAAATTCTACGGCAACTTATTTTTAAATGGACATAAAAGAACGTGTTGAGCCAAAAAAATGAAAATTCAATAAAAATTTCCAAATGTGAAGAAAAATACCGCTTTCTTAGATTTCATTATTTTGATGAGCGCCTGATTTCACCACGATGCCTCACATTTATTTACTGTAACGTTAAAACAAAAATCAGAACAATTTTATCAAAACAAACGATGATCTATACAGAAAAAAAATGATTCCCCGAATGTGACAGTTAAGCGTCATAAAAATCAAAGTCTGTTCCAAAAACAGCACTTGGTCGGGAGAGGCCATATGACAACGGCATTGACTGTGACCCCTTATCATTAAATTCAACCACAACGAGAGATTAAAAGTCCAACTATACAGGGGTTTTTTCATGTTTGTTTTCCATTCCATTCACAAAACTATGATATGAAGGCTCACGTAGTGTGTATCATGATTATATTGGACAAACATTACAACAAACCTAAAATATGCGAAAAGAAAATCTGGTTACACAAGCTCCATACCGACAAGAACAAGCAAAATTGACCAAATAATTAAAAAAACCTTTAACACTAATGTTTCAATTACTCTGTCAATATCTGACAAACATAAATAATAACAAGTAAACAAAGACACACATAGATATACACTTTCAACTTAATTAGTAATTATTAGTACACCTACAAACCTTTGGGATACCAGACTCCTCTTGTAAGATGATTTGCGTGTTCCTGGCAACACGTGCACTGAACACTGTTGGCAAACCGAGGGCTTCATCAAAAGAATTTGTGTGCAAAGACTGGGTACCACCAAACACTGCAGCCATTGCTTCAATCGCTGTTCTCACAATATTATTGTATGGGTCCTGAAACAGACACCAATAGAGTGAAACAGTTACAGTGACTTTGGAAACAAACCATCTCAAAAAGTTCAGGGGAGGGAGAGAATGTTTTTACAATCCATGAAGGTAAAACTTTTATCCCATGAACATTTTGAAAACATCTACAGGCACGAAAGCAAAGATATTCAGTGTGGGGAAAAATAACTATGCTGATGTCCATTTGATGCGTTTCTGGTAAATAGCAGAGTGATCAATATTATATGACACTGTCATAAGCACACACCTTCAACTTTGATCAGTGCTATAAGGTTCCGGAAAGAGAATAAGGGAAGTGGACATAAAGGGGATAAAATATGCTCCGGACAAATACACAATCAAAACTAAAGACAATTTTAATTTTTCTTAATTAGCAAAACAATGATCTCTGCCAAAGAATACACTTCCTAAAACCCAGTCCATATAAGAGCCCAACAATGCCATGAGACAGAATTTTTTCACTATAATCTGCATGCCCAAGAACCCAGTTTCAAAATGAAATCCCCTACAAATCCAGTCTGGTGAGAGAGAGAAGCACAAATTTTTCAACACATTTCTTCACTATGAACCTGTCAATGTATCGGGGGGGGTGGGGGGGGGGGGGTGGCATTACAGACAACTGGAGCAACTGCAAAACTGCTTTGTTCCATATCCACCATTTATCTCTCACCCTCCCCCCCCCCCCCCCACACACACACACACACAACAAAAATATATAAAAAATTTTACCAGTGTGTCAGTCACCTCAGCATAGAATAAAGAAATAAAGAAACAAGGAAGTCCTGGCTACAGACGGATGCTGTTGTAGAAACAACTCTATGAATGCAGGAAAGAGCATAATTAAGCCTGCTTGTTTTAAACTGACTACAAAATAACAAAATAATGATTATTTCGTGCTGATGATAAAAAGAGAGAGAGGAACAATACATAAGAAGAAAGCAAAGACATACCGTGGCACCCATCAACCATCTGCTTATAATTATAACAGACAAAACAATAACACAGAGGCAAATTACCTGCTCTGTGAGCGACCAGCCAGACGTCTGACAATGGGCTCTCAAAAGCAAAGACTTGGCCACTTTGGGCTGGAATTTCTCTTGAATGAGGGTGGCCCACAGCCTTCTACCTGCCCTCATTTTTGCTATTTCCTATGAACAAAAAAATTGATAAAAGCTAGAACTTACCAGTCACAGTATCAATGGGCATCATTTGTTGACTAAATATACAAGGCTATATTCCAAAGTATGAATAATTTTCAGCTTTTTCTTAGACTAAAATGCAAAAATTAGCAAATTCAGTTACAACAAGGCAAACTACTTTTTAATCAAAGTATAATATTTTTTAATGGAAGTCTGAAGCAGGGGAAATTACAATCACCATAAAACCTATGCAAAGCTATTTATAAAAACATTACAATGTAAAGGAAATAGAAATTAAGTACAGCCAATAAGGAATTTCCTCAATCATCCACACATAAAAAGAATGCAGCACACAAATAAAATCAATAAAATAAAATACATATATGTTTGGGGTCTTTGTCGTTGTTTATTTTTCTTTTCTTTTTTTTTTTGGTCAATGCTGTTGTTCATTATTTAAAAAAACAGTATTTTCATCTGAACTCACCATGTAGAAGTTCATTCCAATTCCCCAGAAAAATGACAGTCTGGGCGCAAATTTGTCCACATTCAATCCCCTATTAACACCTGTTAAAATTATCAGATAAGACAAATAGTGATGAGCAGGAAAAAAAAACTTTGAATGCAGAAGACCATCTCTTTACACTGTGTAATCGCAATTCTAATTTTCTTTTAATTAACAAAAAAATGTACACCATGGTTATTGACTGCATTGTGTTAATCCTAACATGTGATGTAAATGAAAATACACCATATCATATACCATATAAGAGAAACATTTTCTAAAATACAATAACATTTCTACAAGAATTTGGGCCATTCGGAGCTGGAAATCATATTAATAACAAACTGATTTCTAAGACATTTCTGTCCCATTTTTTGTTAAACACATGCTCACAGAATAACAGATTTTATTCACCTTGTCTCACATACTCCAACCCATCTGCAAGGGTGAATGCCAATTCCAAAATGGCATCTGCTCCTGCTTCTTGAAGATGATATCCAGATATTGAGATTGAATTGAATTTGGGCATGTGCTGTGAAGGGAGAAAGTTATCAAGGATGATGCATTCTATTGGAGAGGTGGTTTTGTGGGCTTTTTTAAAAATTTCAGGTCCTGATTTTTATTTCAATGGGAAAAAAAAAAACAGTTCGTAGTCCTTACTGTCTCTTCAAAGATAAAAAAACATACACAGCATATGTATTGAAAGTATAAATATAATTTTAAACATTTATGCTAGGACTAGAGCACAAAAAAACACAGTTTTCCTCCTCTTCATGGAAGAGTAACATGCTTAAAGACGAATCATTTCAACAACTAAAAAAGATGTACAAATATTAAACACATGCATTTCAATTTTCAGCCTACTGCTTCATTTTTTATTCTTTATTCCTCTACTTCCTTTTGGGGGGGCGGGGCGGAGGGGGAGGCAAGGAGTTCCAATATCCTCAGACTAAGCACAAGACTATTGACTTTAAAAAAGAACGAAAACTGTATACAGAAGCAAGAAACCATAACTCAGTACTAACTAGGAGCAGAGGACTTTTCAGTATCTTTACTGAAACCAACATCACAACCTTAACACTTCGCAATCAAATTTTAGGGAAAATCCAAAGAAACTGGGAGGCGGTAAACATCGCAAATCAGTGAGATGAGGTTGCAAAGTGTTAAAGGCAATGCATGCTAAGTATTGAAATATAATTCAAACAGAAAAATATTTGGCAACACAGAGATATATGAAGATACAAAAAAGAAAAGCTGCCTGTAGCTAAAAACATGTAAACAAAGGGGGTTACCTTTGATGTGTATTCAAAGATATCGCCAATGATTTTCATGGAGGGATCAGGAGGGTAAATGTATGTGTTCCTGACCATGAACTCCTTCAAAATGTCATTTTGTATAGTCCCAGCGAGCTCTGCCTGTTTTGAGCCCTATGGAAAAAAAAAACCACAACACATTATTTTTCAATGCAGTGAAGGGCATAAATTCATGGTGAAAATCAAGCAAAATCATCTCTATTTCCCCATTGAGAAGTAATACTTCGGTATCTCAACACCAATAGGTACATACATTCTCTCTCACCCTTAGTAATGACAGAAAAGTATGTCTGTCTGCCCATCCACCTGCTTGGCCATCTGTCTTCCATTCCTTACATACAATCACAAAGACTCACTAACATACACAACTTGTATGATCAACACAACACTGACAACATAATTCTAAAAATCCAGAGTTCCAATTAAAAGTAACGCATATAGATCAGAAAATCACAAACAGAAAAAGTAGACTTCATCATTCATGTGTCATGGCCCATTGTAAGACATTACTATGTGCATGAGCCTTCCCAATAATGTTAGTTACCAGCTTACTCCACTACTGAAACATCCTAACATCCCCAGTACAACAAAACTCAAAATGATCAACACCATATTCATCTCAACACTCACTTATCAATGCCAAACTTGGACCACGAACAAAACATTAGAGTAAAAAATTACAACATGTGAAATGCGCTGCCTTAGAGAAGCAGTAAACAAGACCAGGCGAGACAAAATTAGAAACTCCGTAATCCAGAGAAATGGTGGGCACAAATGATGCCATGCATCACATCCAACACCAAAGATTCAAATGGTTCGGACATTTCCTACGATTACCAACACACCATCCAGCACAACGAGCCTACAGCCAAAAATTCGATGGCAACAAGGCTACAGGGTGACCTAGAAAGACCTGGATAGATGGATTAAGGGAAACATTAAACACCCACGGCATCCCCCTGACCCAAGCTCTCCGGCTGGCGACAGAGAGAAGTCTCTTTCTTCCCGCAACACGCAAAAGGGTATAAGCGGTGGATAAAAGTAAAATAAAAGTAAGCATGAGCCTTCTGGGAGAGACATTGCAGAGAGTTCCAAACAAAAGTAGTTGAGTGAGAACTACTCTTCTCCACAAAGTTCCACACTCAGTATACACCATTTTTATTAGTAAAGGCCATGACGGGAGGGGGTGGGGGGGAGTGGGCGATTGGAGGGCACCACTGGTAGGTCGTACTTCTTTACTTTCCCCTCCGTTGTTTCTATCTGTCCGTTTTACTTTTTCCCAGCACTAAAAGACCATTATCGTGTCGATGTGCTTCTCTTTACTCAATAAAACTCAAACAAGCCATGATGGGACACATTTCAAGTTTGACACTTTCAAAACAGTTATTAACTTGTCATGTATGCTCCAATTATGACACATCAAATGTGAGAATGACAACAATATTCGTCTTGTCTTAAATAACAAGGTAGAATAAACATGACAACAACACACACTGTTGAGAAATACAGAGTTCACTAAAGTAGAAAAGGCTTGAGTTACCTGTTCCTCAGCAGCAACAACATACATAGACATGACTGGGAGGACGGCTCCGTTCATAGTCATAGAAGTGGAGATTTTGTTTAGTGGGATGTCATCAAACAACAGCTTGGTGTCCTCAACAGAGTCGATAGCCACACCTGCCATACCAACATCACCAGTCACCCGAGGGTTGTCAGAATCATAACTGGAAAAACAATTTTAAAAATCCAGTCTCAAAAAGGAACAGCACCGGAAGTTTTTTTAGTAAGAGTTTAACGGCACTTGCAACACAATAATGTCATATAAGTGCCAAAGATTAGAGGTGTTACAAGAGAGTAACAAACATAAAAAAGAAGGAGGAGAGATAAAGACGATAGTTGTTTAATAGGAAAGAAGGAGAAAACCACACCAGAACACCAGCCAACCACCTACACAGCACCAGAAGAACTCTGGTGAGTTTACTGGCTACAAGTGCTGTGGCCTAACTCAAATGAGGAAGAAGCGACGGAAAAAAATCAGGGAAATGCCTTTCCATGGTGACAACATCAGACTAAGCTCTGTTGGGAACTGAACCCATGACTTCATGATCAAACCCAGTTGAGGTAGCAGTAAAACATGCTTTTCAGAAACAAAAGAACCTGAATAAAAATTGTTTTGCTCTTTGACACTTACATTCCTTTCAGTGGATTACATTGTCAGGATATTAAAATTTGTAAAAATATAATAGGAATAAAGATGTTATGAATTTATTGTGTTGTAAAAAAAAGGGCAATAGCTATTTTAGAGTTTCAACCTCATGTGGGGTAAAGAAAAACCTAATCCTCTAAATGGTATTTACACCTGTGGTCAGTGAAAAAGACATATTAAATTTCTAAGCTCAAAACAGAATGTCGTGATTCTGAAACCAGCAATGTGGATGTATTTGAAATAGTAGGAGTTTATTTTATGCACCAAGGAAACCCAAACTTTTACTAGAATAAATAGAAATACAGTTGAACTTGTTCTAATGGCCACCTGTCCAAGGCAATCACTTGTCAAAATGACCACTTCCAATTTCCCCTTTGTTTTTTCTGTATTAAAATAAAACTGTCCAAGACATCCACCTCTCTAAGACAACTACTTCTCTCCTTGATAATAGGTGGCCACCTTGGACCATTTCAACTGTAGCCTTTAAAAAATGTTTTTATTGTACCATTTGCAGCTAAAAAGACTTCCTGTCATCCCACACTTTTCAGTTTAATATAAAATCTTATACAGCACAAGCATCTTAAGATTTTTATCAAGAGGTGATATATAAACGAAGAAGACATGAATCATGAGTAAAGCATTGGCTACCCTCTGTGAGTTGGGAGGTCAAAGGCAACACTCAGGCCTTGCTGACCAGCCTTGATGTTGTCCTTGTAGAACTTGTTGCTCTCCTCCACAGTACTGAAACCTGCATACTGGGAACAAAAAGATAAACACAACAATGAAGCATGAAAGTCAATTATGCATATGCAAAGAATAGAAAAAAATTAACTTGTAAAAACAAACGTGGGTGAAGTGTGGTGTGTACAGACGATCTTTAATCAAGCCAAGAGGCATTTACATTGAAGGGGAATATCAATCACCTGTTTCAGTGACACTTTTAACATACATTGGCATCCATTCTTACAAAGACAGAATTGAGAAAAGTACTTAGATTGCTGGTAGCTACCCTGTATGTGACCCAGAGAATAAAAAATTTAGGAACCATCATCTTTTCATCTACATACCTTCATTACTATTCTGTCCAATAAATGTTAAGATGTCAAAGAACTGACTCTCTATATAAATTCATAGTTTTATTTATCCTTCTGTGAAGGCTCACATGGCTCCACAAGACCTCCACAGGCCGATCAGGTCATTTTAAAATGATCTCCATCACCAAGAGGCCGTACTTGTTTCATTATCCCATCAGTCTAAAGTTGTTTTTTTTTGCCTTCAACAACATTCTCACCTGTCTGATTGTCCACGGTCTGTGCGTATACATTGTGGAGTATGGGCCTCGGGTGTAAGGGAATTTTCCAGGGATCTCTGGGGCAACATTTTCAGCATCAGCTTTGCTGTACATTGGTTTGATGTTGATTCCCTGTTTGAAAGTAACAAAAAATACAGTACTATTAATTCGTATGCAATGAAAGAAAGTCAATCTTTACAATTAAAATAAAACCAACCAAAAAGTGCTCAGAAGACCATAGTATCTCTAACCTATCACAAGTGAACTTAAAATATGTGGCTTCTCTTGAGGCTGTTTTATAACATGCTTGTGAGGTACAATCTAATTCACATACAGTGAAACACTGATATAAAGAACAAGCCCGGGCAGTAAAAATAGTTCTCTATATCAGTAGTTCTTTATTTCAGTCAACATACACAAACATACTTTTTCTCACATAGTCCCTTTCGGTGACAGTAATAGGAATAGTATACATGGTACACGTACAATAACTTATTTCCTCCCAAGGTAAGGAAAAAAGGAAGTTATGGATGTTTGCTGCTCCTCTCTTTCTCCTTTTTGTATGTCCCCAAAAACATCAAAATATTGCGCCCCCCCCCCCCCCCCATTGACTACGAAACAGCTTCTTAATTTCTCCACACTCCGCAAAGCTCACTATCACAGTTATCTGCACATGGTCTTCACTGTTAGTTTAAGAAGTAGAAGCTTCCTTTACTTGCTCCACAATTGTGCCAATAAGTGTGTGGTCAGTGCGTAGTCACTGTGTAGGCAGACTCGCATGGCAGTTGGGCAACTCTTGGTTCAGTCAACTCATAGAGATGGGATGGTTCGTTACTTCAGTCATAAATAAGATGGAAATAGACTTGTTAGGCTAGCAGATTGGTTTGTTACAGCCGTCAGTTCGTTATCGTATGTTTGCTAAATGCGTCAAAATATAAATGACACAAAGAGAGAAAAAAAACGGGGCAAGAAATGTGTTCTTTATTTCCCTCAGTTCTTTACAAGAGTGTTCCTTATAGGTATGCTCTACTGTATTAGTTCTATGAAAAAAGCAATTACAAAGCCCAATAAACAATTCTCTCTTGAAGAGGATTTCAGTTTGGATCAACAGCATGAGAACAATTAGCAAAACCTCATCTTTGAATTCCTCTAAAATTTCCAGAAAGATCCCTGGGGTTGCGCTCCTGTTTACTATTTATTTTTACAGACCAATAGTTATTGAGACCATGACATTTGTCTGATATGTTTGAACAAATACATGACATAGGCTATTTCTAAGAAAGAGAACTTTGCCTCATCCCTCTTTGCTCTTTTGTGAACATTTTTGTACCTGTGCGCATTAATATCAAATTAAATGCGATTGAATGAAAATGTGCGTGGGGGAGGATGGAAAGAGGTCGTTTGTACAGGTG